TATTCTCTCCCACAGTAGGCTGTTGCTGATGATATCCGGTCAACGGATATTGAGTATCTTGCGTAGACAATTGTTCATAAATACTTGTACCTTCTTGATAATGGTTGTGGTGGTTCTCCACGTTTCAGCTCCATAAAGTAGAACAGTCTTGATGTTCGGATTGAAGATTTTCACATTGATATTGATTGACAGTTGTTTTGAGTTCCATATGTTCTTCAACTGTAGGAATGTGGCCGTTACATTGCCAATCCTCTCCTTTACGTCTGCATTGGATCCTTCTTATCCATTGATGATACTTCTCCAGGTACGTGAAAGATTCCACCTCCTCCAGAGCTTCTCCATCAAGTGTGATTTGGTTAGCGTTTCCCGTGTTGTATTTGGGGATCTTGGTTTTTCCTTTGTGTATGTTGAGGCCTACTGATATATAGGTTGCTGCTAATCTGGCTGTCTTTATCTGCATTTGTTGGTGTGTATGGAATAGAAGGGCTAGTTCATCTGCGAAGTCAAAATCGTCTAATTGGTTTTGAGCTGTCTATTGTATTTCGTGTTTTTCCTCAAATGTCGAGGTCTTCATAATCCAGTAGAACACCAGAAGAAAGAGGAAGGGTGAATGTAAACAGCCTTGTATCACTCCGGCCCTTACTTGGAATGCGTCCGTCAGCCGTCCTCCATGCACCACTTTGCACTGTAGTCCGTCATATGAGTTCCGGACGATGTTGACGATCTTCTCAGGTACTCACACTATAGTGCCAAAGAAGTTTATATGATGTTCTCCTGTCCATAGTGTCAAACACCTTATAGTCTATGACGTCGATGTATAGTGACGAGTTCAACGGTGATCCATAGTGTAGCGATTTGGTTTGTGCATTACCTATCCTTAACGAATCCAGCAAGTTGATCTCAAAGTTGGGGGTCTACTCAGTCTTTCATCCGGTTCAGCAACACTCTGTTAAAGACTTTCTCTTGTACTGAAAGTAGTGTAATGCCCCTGTAATTTTCACACTTGATCAGATCTCTTTCCTTTGAAATCTTGATGAGGTGTCCTTCTTTCCAGTCCATTGGCACTTGTTTGTTCTCCCAAATCTTCTTGAATAGAAGGTGAAGCATGTTTGTAGTTCCTTCAATGTCTGACTACAGTGCTTCAGCTGGTATATTGTCGGGTCGTACTGCTTTCCCACTCTTGATTTGTCTGATGGTCATCCTGATTCCTTCTGTTGTTGGTCGAGTGACATCTATAGGAGGGTTTGTGTGTGCTGCTTTGATGCGGATTCAATGGAGCTGGATTATTTTCAAATACAAGGTGATTATCTCTAAACTTTCATTGTAGATGAATTTTCATACATAGTAATATTCTATTAGCATAATTAAATGAAAAGAAATAAATTTTTAAAAAGAAAACCAAGAATGGATATAGCATAACAATATGAATACACTTATTCTGTAAATTCTCTTTAACCTAGTACAATTCTATGTCATATTAATAAATGATAAGTTTGTTTTTCTTGCTTTATTCAAATATGTTAAACAGGAAGAATTGTATAAAACAAATAAGTTGAAACGGTATTTGTAGACATGAATTCATTTAATTATGGTTGATTTAATAGTTGAATTCATGAGTCATTTAAAGCTAGACTACTACGGAAAATCTGAAAGCACTGATTAGCCGTTTGTCCTAGTGCGCATCCTTGATTCAAACTCAGAACCTTCGGTCTCGTGTGCAAACTCTTAACTTCTAGACCACTGAGCCGGCATCAAACGGTAATAATGTTTAACTTCATTTAATGAAACCGAGTTATTTAAACCACTAGTTTAAGTAGTAATATACTCATGATGTTTCATGAATAAACTATCCAAATTTAGAAATATGTTAAATGATTATATAACTTTAAATTAAGATAGCTGCACAAATAATGATGCCTTGAAATGATGTCATACAAAATGATAGCAAAGTAAAACTAATAATCAACAATAGATAATATCCATTCTTCATGTTTCTATAAATTTACAATACACCAAGCATTTAATTACTGAATAATAAAATTGAGTATGATATAAAATAGTTTATTCTTGTCTAAACATATTCTACAATGAAATCAAACATAAAGAACAGGATACATATTTTACAATCCAATTCCTGTTTCATGAGGTCTGAACATTAATTTAACAAAATTTGATGTCATTTCGTCGAACGATTTCAGTTGTCAATATTTCAGTATAAGCGTTAAGCCTATTAAAAAAAAGTAAATATACCGTCAATACTTATTCGTGACATTGATGATAATATAAAGGAAAAAACCTTTCGAAAATATCGAGATGTATCGTCACTAATTGCTTCATTACTGTATTCAGGCAAACTAAGCCCAAAATAGTGTTTTGTTTAGTTTTACGTAACTCATCAATTGCACTTCAGACAAAAACAAAAAATTGGCATTAAATCTAGTTAGTTTTCTGTATAACGTATATTGGTATGAATTATATTTTTTTAGCTTTCCACATTTTTTTCTTGCTGTAGAGTTTCGTAACTTTATTTTATGAAATCGATTATCAGACTTTACCCTACTTTAACTTATATCAGTAATATCTTGCCCATTTATAAAATGCCTACCCACCTATTAGTGACTCCTTTATGTAAAATCCTCATTTGGTTTGCTTTAAAATATAATCTCACCTTTTTTAAAGTAAAAAATAAATACTAATTAAATATTTTGTATATTGAATACAATAATCATTTATATACGTACTACTTTTCTGAGACAATGAAACCATTACTTATAATTACACACATTCAAACCACATTTGACAAAATGAACTAGTTAATGATTGATTGTATGAACTGAACAGTTACCAATTTACCAATAAGGTCATTTCACTTTGAATCTCCCTGTTTTGTTAATTGAATCTAATAATCGTTATTTGGTCTTTTAAACAAGATCAACTAATAAAATAAACAAATATTTGGGATTTTGATTTTTGACTTTTTCTTAAATGAGTTCATTATTTACAGAGTACAGATAATGAGTAGAGTATCATACTATACATCCGATTGTATTTCGTTATTCATCATCATAAAATAGATAACATGATGCAATAAACACAAGATGTAGAGAATTGACTATAACATTTTTCCTAGTTAAAGACACCATTTAAAGTAACCCTTATATCTGATTTTGTAGAATACGTCCTAATTCAGAAATTTGATCGTTCATATATCATCATTTTGTAACACTTTTTTGACTAGATCTTATGTAATTAGATATTATTATCTTTTTTGATTTAAAGTGATTCAATCTCATAGAGTTTTCAACTACGTATTAAAACAAACAGAGTTCAATATTGCCATTAATATTATCTTTCCACACCAGCTTATTCATTTCATATGCTCATTTAATCACTAAGTTTGTTGGTGCAGTTGCCCGTTTATATTTCCTACTGTTTTATATTTTCTATTTTTAACTTTACTTTCCAGAAGTACAAATTGACTTCTGTAGTTGAACTATATTGTTTTAATGAATAATATTTATTCATGGGCACGAATAATGTTTTGCGAATTTACCTTGCTTCTAGGTTATAAGAAGCTAAGGAACAATTTAATTGATTCAGTTTACTTTTATCCAATATAATCTGTTATTATTAACACAATAGAAATCCATTCTATTGAGTCAATTCGTAACTCAGTTATTAAGAGTTTTGTGATTTGAAATGCAATGTTAGCTCTAAAAACGTTGTTCTTTGTCTTCATGAGGAATTATGCGGTGTAATACTTTTATAATACTCAAAATTATAAATGATTACAGAAAATCTTCAACCGAAATTAAATATTACTACTCTGCCACTAATTATTATGCCATATTTCCACACATATACTTGAAAGTAATAATTGATGTTCAAAGGTCTTTTGACTGTGACAAACATCAAGCATGAATCTTTTAGAGTGGATTAATTAATTTGCTTATTGAGTGCGACGTAATGAAAGTTGGAATAATGGTTTCAATAATTTTTCACTATTTTTTCTTTGCTGAACAGGACTATAGGCAATATAAAAAGTACAACTACTCTAATTATATAAAATGACCTCAGAGTTTATCTAATAATAACTCACCAAATCAATGTTGAAATCCACTAGACGTAAACGAAGTTGTAGCTGAAAAACTAGGACAACCAGACTATTTGAAAATCCAATAACTTCGTAGTTAAATAAACGGTGAAACAATAATTCATGGACCACCTTTGAGAGACGCTAAAGTGGAGTTTAATGTGTCCATTTACTAGCTAGTGTTAAATGGGGGTTATAAACCAGTGTGAGGAATTAAGATTATGATTATGGTTGAGGTTGAAGTTAGGAATTAGATTTAAGACTTTCATCACGAACTGACAGCAGCTTAAACGCCAAAACGCTATTTAGCCAAGTGGATGAATGAATTCCGCGCCAAAATTCAAATCTGATCGGTTCGTCCATAAGTTAGTCTCACCAAATAAATTACGACCGTAAGATTTGTCAATAATTCATCCCCGGTCTAATTGAGTCTGAATGGCTAATAAACACTAGCTGAAACAGTAAGAGGTTTAAAATGCATTCGGATCAGTCGGCTTTGTTATGTCTGTCGTTTAACAGAGATAACATATTCTGTACATTACAATTTTGAAACATCGAATACTGACAATGTTAGTAATAGTTAAGACAAAAACAAGTTTAATGACGGACATCAATAAACACAAGAGCTCTAATAAGAGACCGATCAATTACAGTTCTAAACAATGAGAAGATTCAAACAACTAATACAAAAATGAATTACTCTAATATTAAATTAAGATCATCTATACTATGAAAAACTCTTGTGGACCAAAAGATCTATCACCTTAATGAAACATATCCAGGTATTTCTGAATTATTTTTTCGATAAGTTCACATCATTTCTTTACGATAACCTTTATTCGCGTCTCTAATTATGAGTTCTTCATTACCGATATCTAATGCACTATTATTTTTCTGTTCTCCACAGAATCAAATACACTCAGATTTTGGATACTACTTTAATGATGGAAAAAGAAAAATTGGTAAGTTAGTGGGTTTATATTTAAATTGCAAATAACATTTAGAATGGATACAATTCTAGGTTTCTCTTACATATATTTTATGTTTCATAGAAAGTTTTCGTAGACTCTAGTCTATGACTTATGAAAAATGACGCAATGCTAATAGATACACCTGAAACCCTCATAAACTAGTAATGTTAGATATCGTTGTTCCCAATAGTTAAATAAGTAAATTTCTAAATAAATGGTTACATTATGCGATTCTCAGATATTGCAATATAAAGATTACACAAAATCTGACAAAACTTGTGAAATGGAATTTGCTGTAAAATACATATTTGACGGCCATAGTTCCAGAACAGATTACTGAATATCGTCATAATTCATATCACTGACTTATCACAAGGAACAGATCTAGATTCTAAAATGGTAAATAAATTAACAGAACTGAAGATTTTAGTTTCATATAGCATAGAAACTATGAATTTTGAATCAATGAACGCAATCGCTATGTTATCTATGAGCTATATCCTTATTCATACAAATGAAAACTATCATTTGTATCATTTTAAGCCATTTCAAACAATGATTCCCGGTTGTTATTTTTTTACCTTTGCATATTTTTTGATTAAACAGTTACACTAGCTTTGTTTCATTCTAATGGACATTCAGTGAATTTATTGAAGTGAAACATGTTCGTTTATACAAATGTTGAATAAACAGTTTTTAACATTATATCTTATCTACAAGACTAATAATCGCGTTTATTTCACTAAGATAAATCGTCTATACAAACATTCGGATTATAAATGATTACATTTGTCAAAATATAGATACCTTTTATTCTATATTAAAAAAATATTACAACAATTATTTCATACAATGATGAATTTATAAAGATTTCTTGTAATTGAAATGTAATTTTTGTCTTATAATCGATACTGACCATATGTTTACAAGTGACTAGTTTCAGTAAGGTTTATTAAAACCGTAATAAGAAATCCTAACCACTTGAGTTAATGATGTTAGAAATAGGACGGTAAGTTATCGAAAGTTTTCGACATGTATTTTGCTTTATCTGCATAATTAACTACAGTTAAAATATGTAGATTATTATTAATATTAGATTCTAGGATATAAATACCTGGATTTCGATCATTACACAAGATTTTGATTTGAGTTTTAAAATATAATTTTCATCCAATACCTAGGTGGATTAAGTGAAATAGAGTAATTGTTTTCTAACTAATCAACTATAGATTAGAATTGGACAAAATTAATATCACTTAATCTATACTTTATATATATATATATATATATATATATATATATATATATATATATATATATCCAACAAAACCCCTTCTGAAACGAATCAACATATGCTCACTAGTGAGTGACTTCAAGATATATTTCCTGGAGTTCTAGTGAGAAGCCGTTACCACTGGGGTTCAACCAGGTCTGTTGTGAGATATCAGCTCACTGAAGACAATGGTGACGGTGGCGCAATTTCGTGGATTGGTTGAAGATAGACATTAACACCGTTGGATGCTGGCCGTCTCAGTGGTCTAATGTTAAGAGCTCGCGTGCGAGACTGATATGTCCTAGGTTCGAATCTCGCGGTGGGCGGGATCGTGGATGCGCTATACTTTATACTTATATGTTTTTACACCAATTGTGTAACATCGAATTTTTATATACAAAAGAATTGACTTCAAAATTACATTGAATAAATGATTATATATTTGTTTATGTATTATATTTTTCCTTCCAAGATTATGTTTTGGTTTGGGATGAACCAGTTAATGAAAATATAATCAATAAAGTGAAAAAAATCAATAGTATTTATCGAAAGACATTTGAAGATAATTTGCAAACAATTGGAGTACAAATTGAGAAAGTACGTTTGGTTAATAGTTATATCAATGAATAAAATTCCAAACTAGTAATTGACTTCTTAATTGTCAATTGAGATTTTTTTTTCTAGTCTTATTTAATACTTAAAAAAAGTATTCAGTCAGATTTCCCTACTCTAGATAAAAATAGAAGTAAGATATCTGCCCTAAAATTTAATTATTAAGGGAAATAATATGGAACTTACGACCTAATTAATAATAATACTTTGATACAAGGAATTTTCTCTTCAATAAATCATTACTCAAACAATGAAATGTGATGTTTATGTATAAGGTCAGGAAATAGATTTTAATTTCATTAATGCTTCAATCAATAAGTAACCATCATGTTTAATCCTTATTTAAATGTAACTTTTCTAACGGTTATATAGATTAAACAAAGATTACCGATTACTAATCATAAATAATTCATATTTTTTAAGAGTCAACAGTTGTTGAACTCCTCTTTACGATTAAACCTTTAGAAAATTACACTAATTTCGGTCAGATTACTTGCTTATTATTGAGTTCGTTCGATAAAATGAAGAAAACATTCCAGCTAAAATTAATATTACAGTTTAATCCTATAAATTTTGATTCAGTACATCAAATATCATAATCAGCAGTTGTAAAATGGTAATCTATTCACTTAACTCTGTGGTAGTACCAACTGATACTAAACTGAGTCTAAAGTTTAGACACTAATTTAGGATGTGTAACATGCATCATTCAAGTTAATTTCCAGCAATATATCAACAGGTTCCAAGTAAATGATGAAAATTATAATTAGTAGTCCTCATTATCACAAACAATATTATTTTCTGTGGCAGTGAGGATAAATCTGACTGAAAAGTGTCATCAGTGAATTTGCTAGATAGAAATTAATCAATACAGTAATAAATCCCGAAACAAGATCTAAGTAGCTATTCATTTGATATAATAGTGTGAACAAATCAACTTGACCCTTTGAACTGCACAACATCTTGTTTGCGAAATAGAGCGAATAATTCATCTAAAATTAAATATTAAATTTGAACAATTAAAAAGCATGTTTGAGCAGTAATTTGAAAGCTACTCAAATAGTTAGTTCGATTTTTGATGATAGCGCTTTTTGATCCAATATAGTGATGCGATTTCCAAGAAACACTCAACACAGTACTATAAATTCAAGAGTTACATTACAGAAATCACAAATATTGAGAAATGAGTTTGAACGACAGCATTCATCAGTTGATTAAAATCTTGACATTTCAATATGAATTATCAAGTAATTTTTGAGGAAAAACGCTAATAAGCACAAGAGATAGATCATATATAGTCAGCTTCAAATATTTCTTGTCAAATGTGCTGTATATATGTATCATTGTTTAGTTATTTATGAACTTGAATTATTTCAAAAACTAATCTTACAAGTGTATTGTAGGGCTGCATCTGACTGAAAAGAACATAAAATAAATGTTTCATTAAAAAAAATAAATTATTTGAAACTTTGCTTTATTTTATTTCTGCAATAATTCCATGTTTCGAAACCATCGTTACGAGTTTTTATTTAACTAATTTATACACAAAAACTCGGCATAAGAAATGTAACTACGTTAGAAGATATTTTCATTTGCATATTATTACATTCCGTCTGCCAATCTGTTACTATCGTACAAATAATGCAGTTTTTTCAATTTTATTTCGACATTGCGTCTGAGATTATGGGTTTATTGGCTAATGAGACTCTCTCAATTGCAAACAACAGTTGAAAAATGTTCATTGGAATTGTATATACTAAAATAATTAAAATGTGTATCCATAAAGTGACATTATTCAGATTAGTTTTTTTCACATATTTGTTGCTTCTCTACATTTTTCATTTGTATTTTGCAATTTCTGCACACACTTTTGTACAACAACACTCATTTGGGCTGAATATCGATTAGCTCATCAAGAGACGATAGTGAATAAATGTTAGTATCAGAAGGGGGTTTATGGAGATTTTAGTAATTTAATGGTTGAGTTAATGAGTCAATTAAAGCTAGACTACCATGGGAAACCTGAAAGCGCTGGATGGCCGTTTCGTCCTAGTATGAGACTCTTCAGCATTGCGCATCCACGATCCCGCCCACTTGTTGAGAAGCCGTGATCAGTGGAGTTCAACCAGGTCTGTTATGAGATAGTAACTTACTGAAGACAATGGTGTACGGTGGCTCAATTTCGTGGATTGGTTGAAGTTAGACATTAACATCATTGGATGTCAACTCAGTGTTCTACAGGTGAAGCGTTCGCGTGCGAGTCCGATAGGTCCTGGGTTCAAATCTGGCGAGCGGGGTCGTGGATGCGCAATACTGAGAAGTCCCACAGTAGGACGAATCGGCCGTCAAGTGCTCCCAGGTTTTCCATGATGGTCCAGTTTTAATTGACTCATGAATTCAACTATTAAATATTAGTATACTAAAGTATACTATTGGTAAATGACTTGACACAATTGATATTTGGCACTTAGTAATAAGAAACATTTTATGTATAGTAAAAATTTTCTTTATCATTACATTGTCATTTAATTGTTTGGTTGAAAAGACCTAAGGACTTTTTTGAATAACTCGAATTTAACTGGATGATTTGGTTGAATAAAATAAAGTAAAACATGTGAAATAAAGATTTTTGATATAGAAAGCGTAATAACAAGGAATATTTAAATATTAAACCTGACGGACTTGACTTAAATACGTAACATAATCAGGATTAACAGAACAAAATCCTTTTCCAATCTCCAATAAGAGTACGGACTAAACATATCACATGATATACTAATCAAGTGCAAAAATCAATAACAATTAATTAATCCGATTAGTTTTGGCTTTTTACAAAACAAAATATTGTGAGGTCTCTTAATCTTTGATAGATTCAAAATGAAAGCAAAGTATTAGAGTGATAAGTAATTAAAAGAACTTTATAATAGTGAAAACGACTAGTAAAGTACAGCAGAGCCTGAGGCTGTCAGATGGATACCTCATTCAGAAAACGATTCCTTAGATATCGTCTGCATAAATATCAGAAAATAAAACCATGGATTTGACTATTGAACTTTAAAAATATTTAAGGTTATTAAGTATTATAATCAAAGATGAGTGGTGACTCTCCAGCTGGATGTACCTGCATCTCAGAGTTGATGTTCACTCCGGGACTCAAACACAGTATCATTCGCTTCAAACTCCGTCACGTCACCCACTTAGCTACTCAGTCATGTTAGCCACTAGCCTGTACAATGGGGTGAATAATGCAAACAATGCAAAGTGAATTTAAAGTTATCGTTTGAATGATTTCCAAAATGGTTTTTGCAAAGACTTTGATATAGTTTGGATTGCAACCACTTGGTTTTGATCATGTCATTTATGTCAGTTACTCAGATGGTCATTATTATCTGAATAACCAAACGGTTATGCTTCTGACTGTGCCAACAATAGCGGATAAAATTCATACTGTTTAGGTAGATAACTCCACAGCGTTTGGAGTAAAGGACACCTAGTTCGAGTCCCGGAATGACCATCAAATTTCGAATGCCGATACACCCAGCTGACGAGTCCAAATATCAAACAAAACGCACGTCTTGGATTCCCTTGCTAGCCACCATCCTCTATTGTATACCTTGACAGACAACAAACTTTATTGTGTAAAACAACACACAGGTAAACATGATCATTAGATATTTAAAAGGTAAACCACTAAGCTGCCAGCAAAACTGAAACCTGATTATTATGTCAAATATTTGCCTTGCATATCAGATTACTGTGTGACTGGATAGCTAGAGGCTCTAGAACTAGTGTTACCACTTCTAATCTTCTCTGAGCTCTCAAGATATTTCAAATGACGCTTAGTTTGGCATTTTGGGAATAAATCTAATCTTTTATGGGTCATTTGTTAAGCTTATATTCAGTCTTCACACAAAATGTGTTAAAATCTCAATAATATTTCTGAACTATGGGATCAGTTCGGATAATCTGAAAACACTTTTAATCTAAAGTACAAAGATGAATCCAAAATAGCCCATTAGTATAAATATAATATAATTAAACCCTTTAGTCATAGTAAGAAAAATTACATTTGAAGTCACTTTCATTTATTCAAATCATTGATGAGTTTTGGATATGGATTGGTTTTTATTTGAACTTCGTAACCCTAATGTTTTCATTGTCTTATAGTCTTTATGTATATATGGATATTGTAACATTCAAAAATTACTCCATATTATCGTTCCTTTCCATACTAGTTCAAAATAAAATTTACTGGAGAATAGTTAATATCATATTTTATTAAATGAAAAGGAAATTTTAGATTTGAATTAATTAAAGTTGTCAGGTAGAGACGGAAAAATATTAACATCTTATTCATTTTCCAATTTTAATAAAAACTCTAACTGATATATGTTAGGTCCTTCGACCTTAACATATTATAAGCTGAAGCTATAAACTATAGTATTAGGCCACTTTTTAGCTTTAACAAATCTGATACATAATGCATCGATGAAAGTAATCGAAGGTTAAGTTTGTAAAACGTATTCTTTGAGTTAAAGATTTATAAAGGCTCTCAAATTTCTTTTGATGGCTCTATCTAAAGCATTGCTTGCACCCAGTGCTATTACAATGTAAACAAAAATTAAGTTCAATAAAATGGATTTACGTGTAGTGGGAGTCATATATTTACTACTGAATTAATCATGAAACACTAAATTTGATAAATTGCATTTAATTAAAATATATCATCAAAGTATTTCTTTTGAAATCTTTTTGCTGATAATGGAATAAAAAGAAGCGAGGAAGCTATCGGTCTACAGATAGTTGTGGCGAACTCGTTTATTATGACTTCTTAGGAAGGGTCATGAAGAGTATGTAAAACCATCTACATTGATTGTATTCTTCATAGAAGCGCAATCTTCACCATTTTTACCGGCATAACTAGTACATAGTTTTCGCTCCTTAATTATCTTAAAAGTGTCATCTTGTTAGGTGTGATAAATTTCATCGTACTCGGATTAATGAAGTGTTTTGTTATTACAATAATGAAGTGAAATAAGCAATGCTTCCAATTATGAAGGTAAGGGATAATGTCATTTCATGAAAATCGTTCTAGATTTTGTTAATGCAATCATTATCCTTCATGGCCCAACAGTGTAATATCAAGTATTGTCTGAAAAATTTAGATTACTTACACAATAATTCAGTTTCACACAATTTAAGGATGATTATGTTAGTTCAGACTATCCACTGACTGAAACTGATTAACGATTATCCTTATAGGATCGTGGCGTAAATATTACTTGACTTTAAATGAACCTGTAATGAAGAGGTAATTTTAATGCTACTCTGAATAGATTTTCGAAAAATATACATTGTAAAATCTACTAAATGATGTAAATAACCGAAATAAAATCTCACCAACCTTAATCGATTCTCTTTGGAAACTGATTTAAGTTTTAGAAAACAATAAATATAATATGACAATCAAGCAGTAACAGTGTGGATAACTCATGGAATAAAGTGAAAGTAGAACTTGACTATAAATCTAAAAAAAGTTACGTATAGAAACCTTTGGTTTGGAAGCTGTCATAGCTGAGATATTTGCAAATGAATTCACTGCGTTTTTTATAAATAAGTACACTTTACTGGTTGTTTTGAAAGGCTATTAGAAAATGATCCATTCTCCAATATAAGTGGATGATTTATCAATAATGAAAATTCGTTCAGTTATTAGCATAATAAGTAACATCGATACAGCTAATCTTCAGAAATATGAAAGAATTTCTAAAATGGCAATAAAAACCAGCCGCGACCATTCGTTCCAATGAAAATATGTAATTTATTTCCTGATCCGTTCCGTTACAAAAAATTCAGTTGCCGCTTTTACTTTTTAGGAGGATGTCAAGAGCGAAAGCTTGATGACTCATTATTTGAAGCTGCATATTCCTTGGGACTTAATGTGCCATCATGCTGAGTGTCTAAACCTACGGGCTCCTCTTGAAGTATGTGGAATGTTCGTATTTCATTGTTAAATAATAGGATTGTTTTCCAGTGTAGCGTCTTAAAACTATCACTCATTAGAATGTTTTATTCTGTTGTTTCATTATATATTTCGTTTGAACCACAATAAACTTACAATTTACTAGTCAACTTAAAATAGCTCCGTTCCTCCTCCGTGTACACTCAGGCTTTTAGAATTTATGCTTTGATTTATATCAGGATCCACATTTTCTCCCGAGGTAGTACTAATTGGATCATTACGCATGTATAAATATTTCATTAAAATTATTCTTCATCTCATCAAAATAATTAAGAATGATTAACAGTCTATCTAGTGCTAACCAGTAATGTAATTTCAAACAAAGTGTTTATATGAGGTCGAATTTTCTGGAGTTACAAGTGCAAATTCGTACCATCAATAATAGTGAATGAAAGGTCAGCTTTGTTGCGATTATGACTCAGTAATCAAACGTAGTTGATAAGTGACACAAAGATATTTGCCTAAATCATATGCGAAATCTGAGTTTTAATATGAAAAGGTTACTCAGTCTAGGATAAAACAGAAATTCACCACATTTAAGTTTTTAACTATCCTCTAGTTAACACCTATACTCGTTGGAAATAAACACCAAAATTTTCCCACACTTTATGGGTTTTCATGTTTATTTAAGAAACAAAAGTGTTCGTAAATCAGGTGTTACTGAAAATCACATTTGTTACCGCGCATCTACTTATTGACGGTCGAAATGTTTTATTTGTTTCAGAGCAATTAAGTACATAAGATCAATTATAAACACTCAAGTTGTAAACCAGAATAATCATTGATAGCAGTTATCTTTATCAGGTACTGAAGGATATTTTTGATGCATATAAGTAAAAGATAACTAATGGAAAACGAAATTAATTTTTCGATTGAGATCATGAATCGACTGATGTTAGACCACCGTTGGAAACCTGGAAGCACTGGACGGCCGTTTCGTCCCAGTATGGGACTCCTCAGCAGTGCGCATCCACGATCCCGCTCGCGGGATTCGAGTGCTCCCAGGTTTCCAGCGGTGGTCTAACATCGGTCGACTCAAGATCTCAGTCGAAAACTTAATAATCTCCACAACCCCAATACTGACAAAATTAATTATTGGGAAATGAAAATAAATAAAATGCTAAGAAGACTGCTTTGCTACTTATGGAAAATAATGTTGTAACATATACTGTTCACTTCAATATCAGCATTATTAGTGACATTTCTGAATATGCAATGCTTAATGTCTTTTGGGAAGAAATGTCCATCTTTGTATCTCTATAAATGCTGAAACACGCTTCAGCTCTTAGTAACACCAATTATTAACTAAACGTGATTTTGATGATTTTGAAAAACTCGGGTTAAAATTTCTTAGCAAGTAAAAATTAGTGATAGTTTTTATTTTAGGCTAACATCAATCCAATGAAACTGAATAACCTTTGTTGTAGTTTTAACGAAATTCTCTCAACTAAATATGATATCTATCACCGAGTTATTTCAGATACACAACTTAACTAAACAAGCAAGGTTTTGATATGCTGGAGATTTGTAGCTCAGTTGAATGATTTTGATGGAATTTAGTTCTCTGAGCTGGATGGTTTGGTCATGGAGCTTTCGTCGTTCTTCTGAACGACAAACTTCAGGTAGAAGTTTGTGTTGATGATGTCGTTCAGAAGAACAATGAAAGCTCCACGACCAAACTATCCAGCTCAGTGAACAAATCTTCACCATAAGCAAGATTTTCATGGTTAACAACCAGATAATATACTGATTTAAAAAAAATACTTAGATGAGGTTGTATTTTTTCAGCTAATTAAGCAGTTTTTTTGTTAATATCCTTTTAAATTTATATTTGAATTACCAAAATATCCCAAGGTACAAAACACTAAAATGAAGAACTGGTCTGAGATTCTTTTGAAAACAATTGGGATTCCATCTATAATGGCGCAAAATGTTCCGAATCCTCCACCTGAATATTATACTTGTCCGTTTAAGAAAAGTAAACTAGAAAAGTTAGTAATTATATTTTCGTAATAATTACTTACCTTGTGTATTTGTTTTTATTGATTTGTTTAAAATTAATTATCTATGGCGTGTTTAACAGTTAAAAATTAACATAAACAAACAGTTTGTGAAGTACTGACAATGAAACTGTGGTTGATATTTCCAATATAGTAGTAAATAATGCAGGGAAAAAAACAATAGTTTGATTACATCGACCTAAACGCACAAGGCATTTGGGAATTATTTAAATGGTTGCTAAAACTATCTTGTCAGTTAACTTTAATGAAAATTTCAAAATTATTTGTCCTAAAATATTGTAGACACTTTTATGACGTCAACATTGTATTTTGGAGATCTGTGATTAATTTACTGAGGTCCCTGAATAATTGTTTCGAGATAAATATAGCACAGCTGAATACTGAACATAATTATATACTGTTATTTCCATATTGAAGAAAACTACCCTAGTAAATAATTGGTTCAAGTATCTAGAATTGTGACTTAACAATCCATTAGTTAGTTTTCATCTTAAACTGTATTCGAAACACTATTTAAATGACGAAAACTAGACCAAATAAACTAGAGAACGTAACTGATATGTTTTTTCCTCATTGAATTTAAAAGTGAATTTATGGGCTCACTTTCATGCTAAACAAAACATACTACTTACTTATTTATGCCTGTTACTCTGAACGGAGTATAAGCCGCCTACCAGCATTCTCCAACCCACTCTGTCCTGGACCTTCTTTTCCAGTTCTATCCAATTTTTGTTCATTTTTTTCATGTCTGTCTCCATTTCTCAACGTAATGTGTCCTTTGGTCTTCCTCTTTTCCTTTGGCCTTGAGGATTCCATGTGAGGGCTTGCCTTGTGACGCAGTTCGGTGCTTCCCTCAATGTGTGTCCTATCCACTTCTAGCGCTTCTTCCTGATTTCTTTCTCCACTACAATCTGGTTTGTGCTGATAGTGTCTGACCGACGGATCCGAAGTATTTTGCGTAGACAACTGTTAATAAACACCTGTATCTTCTGGATGATGGCTTTCGTGGTTTTCCAGGTTTTGGCCCCATACAGTAGAACTGTTTTGATATTTGTATTGAAAATCCTGACTTTGGTGTTGGTTGCCAATTGTTTTGAGTTCCAGATGTTCTTCAGTTGTAAATATGCTACACTTGCTTTTTCGATCAATAATGCTGCCCAAATATGTAAAGGTTTTTACATCTTCCGAATCTTCTCCGCCAAGTGTGATTCGATTGTTGCATGCTGTGCTGTATCAGAGAATCTTGCTTTTCTCTTTGTGTATGTTGAGACCTACTGCTGCTGAGACTGCTGCTACACTGGTCGTCTTCTCCTGCATTTGTTGTTGCGTGTGCGATAGAAGAGCCAGGTCATCTGTGAAGTCTAGATCTTCCAGCTGCATCCTAGATGTCCACTGTATCCCATTCTTCCCTTCAGATGTTAACGTCTTCATGATCCGGTCGACCACAAGGAGAGAGAAAGGATGAAAGTAAGCAACCTTGCCTGACACCGGTCTTTACCTTGAACGAGTCTGTCAGTTGTCCTCCATGCACGATTTTGCAGTTTAATCCACCATAGGAATTCCGTATAATATTGACTATCTTAGGTACGCCGTAGTGTCGAAAAAGCTTCCAAAATGTTGTCCTGTCTACTCTGTCAAATGCTTTTTCGTAGTCAACGAAGTTAATGAAGGGTGATGAATTCCATTCAATTGATTGTTCCACAATGATCCGTAGTGTTGCGATTTGGTCTGTACACGATCGATCCTTACGGAATCTAGTCTGTCGGTCTCGAAGTTGGGCGTCTGCGGAGTCCTTCATTCTGTTTAACAATACCCTGTTAAAGACTTTTCCTGGTATTGAGAGAAGAATGATGCCCCAAAGTATATACAGTGTCACAAATAACCATCGAAATGTATAACCTCAGAATTTGTTCTAGTAAATATACAAATCAAGCAATAAGTTTATGCGAAGAAAGTGTCGATTTAATCAAACTAAATAACTTTTTCAATTCATAGCATATAATCAATCATGCAAACTGTACTGTTTCCTTACTAATACTTTTTTTTCAAAAAAATCTGACGAGTTAGTTGATTTTTACTACTTTTAAATCAATTGAGGATATAAAAAAATACTTCGAATATTAAACAACGATTTTCAGACTTTATTATTACATAATGTTCATTGCCATTCAAGACAGTTGAAAAGTATCTTATAAAAACAAAACTAATAATCTTAAAGACTGATCTACAAATTAGTCGTAAAAGTTTCAACATTTCATTTCAGCAGTTTAAAAATCCCTATAGAATATTCAAAAATGAAGAATAATTGAGCGAACAATTGTTTTCAATAACTACATCATCAGGTTCTACAGTTATAAGTCCATAATTATTATGATATTTTACTAAGGCTAAAATAAGACATGTATTAATGAATTTGACAATGTTTTATGTTGAAAATGATGAATGTTTGCATCTCTTACGACATATATACTTTACAAATGTGTTATTTGCAAATTAGAAAGGTCATTTAACAAAAGTCAGAATGATTTGGAGTAATGTGTCCAGTCATAAACATCATAATAGTAAAGATGGATAGTGGCTAGCAGTGGATAGCCACTTGCTTGTGCAATGGGGTGAATTTAAATTTACTTGGTATTGTTTTGCTTGAATCTCCCGATTGTGGTTTAAGACTGTAATTGATCAGTCTGTTATTGGCATATGTGCATACTTTGCACAAGCAAGTGGCTATCAGGACTCAATAGCTGAGTGGATAAAGCGATGGCATTTGAAGTAAATGGTACTAGGTTCTAGTACCACAGTGAACATCAACTCTGAGATGCATGTACATCCAGCTGAAGAATCCCGAATAGGACGAAACGCGCTCCCTGAATTCCACTGCTAGCCACTATCCATCTTTGCTTACAAAGCTTGCGAATTACGACAATATCGAAGCAATACGCACAGTATGTACATATGCCAATAACAGGCTGATCAATTGCAGTCTTAAACCTCAATGGGACGACCCAAGCAAAACAATACCAAGTGGAGTTTAATAGTAATATCATAAAAATAAAAAAAATTGTGTGAATAAAATGCATAGTAGGAGAATTTCATCCTGTTAACTGAGGTAATAATAATATTGTTATGTGAATATAGTATGTAATAAGGGGGATGTTATCAAGGTAATTACGATAAAAGGAATTCATGTGAATCGCGAGTGTTGTATGTGAAGATTAAGATTGATGTAATAAAAAATAGGAAGGGGTTTATAATATTCAGTTTAGGTATCCGGTGATCCTGTTGTAAGCCAAGGTAATCATAGAGGCTGGATATTACCTTTTGTGGATGCATAAGTTTGGTTTTTTGGAGTTGATCCAGATGGCTTCGGCTATGTAGAGTGGCCGTACTCTAGCTCCTTGAGGTAGATTCTTTAGAACTTGATATAAAAACAGATAATTCTTCCTCTATTTTGGTATGATATCCTTCATTTACAAGTTCAATATTTTAATTAAATGATTTCTCTAAAGTTTTGAATGTTATATGTTTTAGTTTATCCGTTTCGGTTGATGATAAGAAATTATCAAGAGACTGAAAATAAACACTAAGTTCGATTATTATAGTGACTATACGCTTATTAATCAAACTGATTACAACCAATAAGTCTTGGAAAAATTATGTGATAAGGTTATAAAGCATTATCATTGACATCAATTTGTTTTATAAATTCTCTCAAGTTTTCACTAGTTTTGGTATCGCTTTTCTTATTAAACTCATTCATTACAGTACATATTCACGTAGTCAGACTTGATTTACAGTTTTCTTGTAAGATGCAGTGATACTATGTAATTCTCAGAACTAGGGTCTAGATAACGAGTTTAATATACGATAAATGAAAGTGGTCTTAAAAAACACATGATTGCAATGGCTCATTACAGCAAATAACTCTTTTATAACAGGTTGGTAAAATCTATTTAAAACAAAGTCTGTCGCTCATATATGTGTTGCAATACTGTTTCAGATTCATTGGACATGATAATCAAGAATCATATTTCACCCCTACTCAAAGACATCAGGTAGCATATGATATTTTAGCTACTCAAGCATATGGGAGTCGTGAAAAGGCACAAGTTGGAATTGATCGTCTTATACAAGAAGAGGTTTACAATGCTGCGTACGCGATTCATGAGGTAATCGGCTCAAATATAAACACCCATCCAGTTATTCATATTGCCATTACCAATTCTTCATTATATATATAATAACTACCCATGTTCTCAAAAGAACTCATGTAACATTCAGTCACGTGTTTATCATGTACATTTTTTATGTTATCACATGTTCAATTATTTGTTCTATAAAAGTGTATATGATGGCAATATTTTTATTTAGTTAAATAAAGTTATACCTTCTTTATGTCCCTAACTTATCTATAGTACTATAACTAAACAAAATATTACGGGAAACATTTTTCTAACTTACAGGTTTCCGATGGTTATCTAGGTTCAATTGATTCATGATCTCAACCATTGAAATTACTATAATATCCACAAAACCCCTTCTGATATTACTTAAAAGCTTTCATAATCTCGCAGGGGGCGAGGTCGTGGATGCGCACTGATGAGGAGTCCCATAATAGGACGAAACGACCGTCCAGTGCTTCCAGGTTTCCCATGGTGGTCTAGCTTCAACTGACTCATGATCATAATCATTGAAACTTATATTTTAGTTATTTTAAATAATATTACTTATTTTTATGAAATTCAATTTGTGAATAATTTACTGTTAGATATAACTTCTTATTTAAATAAAGTTTAATATGATCATTAGTTATAGCAAAGGGTAATGTATCTCTTGATTAATTGTAGGGTCCATATGAAGTAGATGAAGAGGATTTAAAAAATCCAGAAAAACTGAATCCACGTCAAATTTTATATTGGTATTGGGCAAGATGGGGTTGTTGGTATAAATATCAACCTCTGGATCATATCAGAAATTACTTTGGTGAAAAAATTGGTTTCTATTTCGCTTGGCTTGGTAGGTTTATTTTCATGAATTAAACATATATTATTCATTGTATGTCAACATTTCCCACCAAACAGTTAATGATTAATATACATCATAATGGAAAAATCCATAGCTATTTAAGCAAAGATGTAAAATGGAAAATTCTAAACTGGGATGAAGAAAGATAAAATAGTGATTTTGGAATCATTGAGTAATTACTTATTCACTTCAGCAGATAAAATAATCACTAACATAAAAACAAGATAATGATGAAGAATCAAATCTTTAGGCGAATTTCAATAACAGTTACATTGCAGTTCACAGCACTTATTGAAATGTTGACTGAATAAGACTGCCTATGTCTAGAGTGATTCAGTCAATAAATATTTCTTCACTTTGTCTTCCCATTCAATCAACTAGATTTGGCACGCTTATGGAAAAAAATGTGTATCAGTACCAGATTCGAAAACAGTACGATGTATTTACTATTTTGAAAATTCCTGTAACAAAGTCACAAACTTCAAAACTCACTCTTTAACAAAACAATAATTTCTATAATCTACTCACAAAAATATGTTGGATATCATTTCGTTGTGAAGATATCAAAAATTACCGTCAACAATTATATAAAGTAATGCAAAGATGCAAATATTTCTGACTTCTGTTAAGTATTTCATCATTATATCAAAAGATGATGTAAAATAAGCTTTACTTCCATACTGATAGTTCAGTACTTATAGTATAAAAATGAACCTTAGTGTATGTAAAAAGAACAGAGATACTCAATAATAAGAGTATCAATGACATAACACCCTCTTACTTCTTATTTCGTTGAGTTATAAAATTTCAATATTAATTGTAAATGATATAAATTTGTGATCAAATATGAAATTTCTTAATCGCCAACTGAAATACACGTTGGAAAGTTAGCCAGTTGTACATATAGATAACGTCTGATTGTAATAAATTTTTGAGAATATCTGATATCTAACAAAAAACCTAAGATTTTATTTTCAACGAAATCACTTACTTAAGCTGTACATTTTATATTTATAGTTGTATGGTAAAAATATGTCTATAGTAGGATAGAAAAGATTACATCCTAAAGTGATTCGAGATTTCAAATATCAAATGCGGTTGCGTAATCATCCTGGGGTTAGAGAAGAATACGAGGATGAAAATAATTTACTAGTCAGAATTATGAAAGATAATTGTCCATTTGACAGATATGAAGAAAAATGAAAAAAAAACATTGAGGCTATAATATTAATAATCGAATAATGATCACAGAAAATTGTTAGAGGATAATAATAACTGATTACAGTTTAAAACCACAAGACAATAATAAAAACAAACTAGATTACAACATACTGAAGAAGGAACTAGGGTCAAGAAATAATGAGAGGTTGGACATATAGTTTTTTACACAGAGTTCGGGCTTAAATCAGTAGATCACCAAAGCCTCAGCAGTGCATACGTTATTGATTCGGCCTGACTTTCATTCAGTTCCTTTGATTGTGTAGATTATTTTAAAGGAAGATTCTTGTAGAGCGACGTGTCCAGAGTTCATTAGGTGCTGCTGTATTGAACTAGTGATTGTTTTGGATTCTCTTTTTAAAGGCTAATTAATTTTAGTTGACCTTTATGTTTTTCGTCTTTTTATCAAGTGGACAGTTATCTTTCATAATTCTGACTAGTAAATTATTTTCATCCTCGTATTCTTCTCTAACCCCAGGATGATTACGCAACCGCATTTGATATTTGAAATCTCGAATCACTTTAGGATGTAATCTTTTCTATCCTACTATAGACATATTTTTACCATACAACTATAAATACAAAATGTACAGCTTAAGTAAATGATTTCATCGAAAATAAAATTTTTTCACTGAATTTTCTTCATTTTTATTCGATGACACAATGGGAAATGTTTTTATAAGGTGAATTAATAGTTCTCAGTACCCATACGAAATGTTATCACTAATAGCAAAAATTAAAATAGTATCTTTACCATTAAATTATTTTATAATATTATTTACATTATAATAATTTATTCATAGGTTTATACACTGCATGGTTATTACCAGCTGCATTGGTCGGAATCTTTGTTTTCATATATGGACTTGTAACTATAAATGATTATGTTCCTGTGTAAGTATTGATTAAATATAAATGTTATCTATTACATCGTTTATCCACAGGAATACTTTTATACTATAATTTAATATCATAGAAACAACATAAACCACTTGTAAATGGTTAGCTATTTACACTTTCAAATTATTCAGCATCAAGCTCTTCACTGCCAATATTTTTTAAATATAGATGTCGATAAACTTTTCTATGTACTTAAAATTTAACACTTTCATGAAATGCGTATTGTCGTTATCATGATGTAAAGATAATACTTCATGTGTGTAACATCTAAGATGAATGAAAGACTTCATGTATTACTTTCATTGAAGAAATCAATAATTTGGCAATAGTAAACTAATAAGATTTTGAAAATAATTTTAGGTAATAATTACTGGCCTATAATTACAAGATTTGCTTCTATATAACATTATTATAGAGAAATTGTGATCCTAAAGTCAAGGAAAATACATTACTTTGTAGTAAGCTTGATAGAATAACTTAATTAAGTTTATCTTGATTCGGAGATAGTGGTTGTATTAATAGTATAATTGTAAGGATCCTGCTATACATAATTTATTATATGTTTGAACAGAATAATGAAAAAAAACAATATTGTAATTTAATTGTGATTTGCAATCCTATACTTTCATTCTCATGGATTATATATATAATCGATTATATTGAATTAAAGTGAAGTTGCTTTTTGTGACAATCATCCATACAAACCTCAAGTTCGGCTTAAACAAACTGATATAGGTAAAATAAACAACTGGTTAACAAAAAAGTTCGCTCATAAAAATGACAAAAAATTGAGTATGAAAATTGCATTTAACTTAACACATAAACTATGTCATGTAGTGATATTTAAAAGTCACTAAACATTTGAGTGAAAGCACGCAATAAAGTGGAGAGGTCGGAATCATTTCAAAGATTTGGACTTCGAAGATGAACTAGCCCTTCTATTCCATACACACCAACAAATGCAGATAAAGACAGCCAGATTAGCAGCAACCTATATATCAGTAGGCCTCAACATACACAAAGGAAAAACCAAGATCCCCAAATACAACACGGGAAACGCTAACCAAATCACACTTGATGGAGAAGCTCTGGAGGAGGTGGAATCTTTCACGTACCTGGAGAAGTATCATCAATGGATAAGAAGGATCCAATGCAGACGTAAAGGAGAGGATTGGCAATGTAACGGCCACATTCCTACAGTTGAAGAACATATGGAACTCAAAACAACTGTCAATCAATATCAATGTGAAAATCTTCAATCCGAACATCAAGACTGTTCTACTTTATGGAGCTGAAACGTGGAGAACCACCACAACCATTATCAAGAAGGTACAAGTATTTATGAACAATTGTCTACGCAAGATACTCAATATCCGTTGACCGGATATCATCAGCAACAGCCTACTGTGGGAGAGAATAAACCACGTTCTATTTGAAGAGGAAATTAAGAAAAGACGTCGGAAGTGGATAGGACACAAGACGAGGAAATTATCGGACTGCATCACGAGGCAAGCCCTAACATAGAATCCTCAATGGAAGCGGAAAAAAGGAAGGCCAAAGAACACATTACATCGGGAAATAGAACCAAATATGAAAAGGATGAATAGCAATTGGACAGAACTGGAAAGGATTGCCCATGACAGGGTTGGATGGAGAGTGTTGATGGGCGGCCTATGCTCCTCCACAAGGGGTAACAGGCGTGAGTAAGTACTTAAACACATATTTCGGTTGTCTGTCAGTTTTCTATTCTCTATGGCACTCATAATGAGTGACTAAAATGACGAGTCAGTATATCAGAGATCTCAAGATTACATTTATACTTCTTCTGATCACTTAATTTATTGAACAAGTTTTTAACATATTTCCAACTATAGTCAACCTTCTCTTACATTATTTAGAAAAAGTCTTCTATAAAGGAAATTTCAGATGACAAATTATTGTTCTTAGGCAAATTATTACTTTTATTTTCATGTTTTTATGATGTTAAAAGGCTATCCATGATTTCTCAACTGACGGTAAGTTAGATAAACGTTGAACAATTTAGAATTATTGCAGGTTAGGTATATTTCATTGAGACTTTGATGACGTCAGAGTAGGTTAGACATAAAGTTTGGAATAGAAAAATAATATACATTCTCAAGACGTAAACGGTTTTCGGGACTTCGTGAAAAATAGCATTTTGATTAACTTCATCAGTGTAGCTTGGATTCGTCAAATTTACTTATCGATCGATGAAGGAATTTGCAAGACCATGGATCTATCGAACTTAGACATTAATACTGTTGGACGCCAGCTCAATGATCTAGAGGTTATGAATTCCCTCGTGAGACCGAAGGCTTATGTTCGAGTCACGCGTGTGAGATCGTGGACGCGCACTGATGGGAAGTTCAATACTAGGACGAACCGACCATCCAGTGATTTCAGGTTTTGAATGGTGGTCTAGCTTACATCAACTCATTAATTTAATTATTAAAATTACTACAATCTCCACAAACCCCCATTCTGAAAATAAGTTTATATCTTCAGAAGATGGGTAGTGTTTGATTACTGATTGGTGTTTTGAAATGATTTTCTGGAAAAATACGACAGTAAGATTATTTGAAGCAAGTTTAAATTTCTTGACATTTCAGTTAAGAGTACAGTCAATCAAATAACTAGAATCACGATAAATTTTTATAATTAAGTATAATTAATTCACGATCATCCCTAGGGGACAAATGAAAGATTTAATAATGTCGTTTAGAATTTATGTAAATGGATGATAATTTTTAAATAAGGTTGATAATAAAAGACCATAGAATGTTCGTCCCATGCTTTGAATTGATCCCTTCGGAAATGAGGTTAATGAAAGTTATTATATGGATAAGATGTAAAATTGAAGCCAATAACTAACATACTATATGATAACATACAATTATTATCCTATTTTAATCACATTCATTATCCACTAAAAGAGAAAAATAAAATTGATTTTCATTGTAGAACAAACCGATTATTTACTTTAGTGTTTTCAAATGTGTCTGACTCTTAAATAAACTGTAAACCAATATCATTTTCTGAAATCTGCTCTTAAAAATTAAATAGATATTCATATTTGTCAAATTTCAGTTCATCTTTCTTTGTCACAGTTAAACATATGTTTAATGAACACTGCAATTCTCAGTGTGCCAATAATACCATTTAGCAATCACTAATATACCCAACAAATAAAAAAATCTGCCTACATTCCCTTAATTGTTTAATTATTGACAGGAGAGAAGCTTGTGAACGAGACACAGTTATGTGTCCAACTTGTGATATCAGCCATGGGTGTCGATATTGGAATTTACGAGAGCTATGTTTCTACTTGAAAATGTCCTACTTATTCGATCATCCCGGTTCAGTATTTTACGCTATTTTTATGGTAATTTGGGGTACGTAACTCGGGATTTTTTTCCTCATATGTAATATTGTTGATTGTATATGGTAATTAATGTTTGTAATTAGTTAAGTAATTTCAAGATTCTTTCGTACACATAACTAGACTTTCAAAAAAAATTTTTGATGGAGTTTTATTCTCTAAGTTGGACGGTTCTGTCGATGAAAGCTCCACAACCAAACCATCAAGCTCAAATAACAAAAATCCATCAAAATTATCCATCTGAGCTACAAATCTTCTCGACTATCTTAAAAAAATTCTTGTACAAAATGAAAAATTCGTGTCTGGGATTATGAGATTTATGTATTCGTAGGGATCAGAAACTAAGTAAACATTTATTTAATTAGTTGATAGGCTTGAGGAAAGCAATGAACTGAATAATTTCAATATGACTAACACAGTGGTTTCTCTGAGTACATAGTCTAAATAGATCCCAAGTTGTGTAATAAAAAACATTAATAACATGAGTTTGTATCATTATCAAGGTTTGACTTCATAATTTCGAATAAATTGAGCATTGGGTTGATTGTTATAAATAAATAATATATTTGTAATAAGTAATGAGTAGAACAAATAGGTTTTCCGACGTTTCGTGACTCAGTGTAAGCCACTTCTTTAGAGAATAAATAACCAAATCAAAATTAATTCAAGTTTAAATAGTACAAACGGAACAACACGAATATTATGTGACCAATCAAAAAACAGGTCTGAATAAATCAATGTCATGTCATTTCGGTCAAGGTGATTCATAAGTGACACGTATGTAAATTTGTGTGTATGTAAGTGTGCACTGTTAAGGATGAAAAATGTGTGACCTTTATGGTGAGAAAGGATAGAGTTTAATTTGTAAGATAATAGTGTGAGTTGTGAATAATATCAGATTATGTGGCTAGGATAGATAGTCCACGTAAGATGTATGGTAAGTCTTTCTTTTCTATGGAGAGCAGTAGGATTAAGCATTATATGTAAAGCTTCAGCTACTCTCCTTTCCTTGTAATAGGAAAAGCCTTTTTGCAATATTTTGATATTTTTGACGTCGATTTGGTGATCGTTCAAAATGGCATGAACTGCTATTACTGATTTGATTTGAAGTCTATCCAGTTCTACGGGATTATTAGGTTTCTGTGTGTACCTAATATGTTCTTTGTCACGAGTCAAGATTTCTCGAGATTGTTAGGTCATATCACATGTTGTATTAAGACGGGCATTCGATAACAATATGATTTGGGTGAAATATTGACAAAATTGTAAGAACACAATACAAATTTAATATTTTATATTTACTGAGTTTTATATCAATCACTTTGTTTTCGTAGGTGTTACGTTTTTAGAGTATTGGAAACGTAAAAATGCTAAATTAGCTCATCGATGGGATGTACTGGATTATGAAATAGAAGAAGAACGACCGCGTCCACAATACTCTGCCCACTGTACACAATATGCAAAAAATCCCATTACGGATGTTCTTGAACCATATTTTCCTCCTCGTGCTCGTGTTGCTCGTATTATTGCTGGATTGATATGTGTCATGGTGATGGTAAGATAATGTTCCCTTCATATTTTACAATTAATTCTTCATAACGTTATGTTATACTATTTCGATTTTCTTTTCCCATGAAAGCTAACCTATTACATTTGAAGATATAGCTGTAAGTTAGTATGACTTTGTCTTTAAATTGTTTCTATGATTACAACAATAGGCAATAATGTGATTCTATTATGAAGAAGGAGAACGGCTATACGTGTTGATTTCCAACGAACTTCTTTACATGTACTCAAAATGTAAAAAGGTGGTGTTGACAACGAATAAACAAATAACTCAGTTAGTTGATTTCACATGTGAATCACAAATTTTCAACCTTAATATATTTGCAAATATTGTTCATATTGTAAGTTATTGATTATTGTGTACTAAGCTCAACTGAGTTGAATTTGTCAATCAGAAGAAATAAATTATATGAAGTGCATTCAGATATGCTTTTAATCTTGATGGAGTTTTGTTCTCTGAGCTGGATGGTTTGGTCGTGGAGCTTTCATCGTTCTTCTGAATGACATAATCAGCACAAACTTCAGAGAACAAAACTCCATCAAAATCATCCACCTGATCTACAAATCTTCTCCACCATGCTTTTAATCTATTTTTGGGGCATAACAAATCTTCGTCAGTAGTCTTTGCCTTATTCTTTCTACCATACTACAAAGTTTTGTTCACTCATAACATATTATTAAATGTTTTACAAAACTAGAACAATTAATTAGGTAAAAGTGTATAACTAACAGAAGGTGATAACCAGGAAATCATTAGTCTACTTTTCATACTAGTTGTCATCGGTCTTCAAGATGCATCTGCAACTATGAAGGACCTAGTGTTCTCTGTAGAATTCGAGCCAATGTCATCCCATGCCACAGTCTGTGATATTTACATGAGTTGGTCATTGAATAGTAACTACTGTCGTTTTCGTTTATTGACTGAATTCTATCTACGAAGTTTCCCATTTTAAGTCAATATAATCTGAAATGATTCATTGAGGAAAACAGTGTAATTATGTTTGTTACTGAAGCAATTTATGTAACTCAGCTTGCATCACCACTCCCATCACTGATCTAAGTGCTTGATTACAAACATATTCCCCTAGTTTTGTGCAATTAGAAAGAAACCCATCACTTTAAGCATAGTTGATTCACTAGAAAAAATATCTACTTTCAAGATCACAAATATAATCTAAGGTCATGATGATGACTACTCCCTTATATTGATAAATACATCAATAATTTCTCTTTTCTAGTGTTTTCGAACCTCTGACTCAAAATTCCATTGATTACTGATGGACTAGACTTGCAAAGATAGCTTTCGGCCTTCTGGGATTTTGTAAAAACGATGGGTCACCCAAAGAACTTGAATTGTAAGTACTTCCATGAGTCCTATAAACAATGTAAACAGAGATTGGACAAGTGTATTTTTACAAACAAGAATTAATTTAAAGGTGATACAGTTGGTTTCTACTACATTATATTGATTAAACCTTTTTCGACCACTGTTCGTGTCTATGTCCGAAAAAATAAAGTCATAAACTAGACAGTTGAATTCATGAGTCGATGTAAGCTAGATCCCCATCGAAAACATGAAAGCACTAGACGGTCGTTTTTTCCTAGTATGGAACTCCTCAGCAGCGCACATCCATGATTCCACACACGTGACTCGAACACATGTCTTCGGTCTCATGTGCGAACTCGTAACGTCTAGATCACTGAGATGACATCCAACAGTATTAGTGTCTAACTTCAATAGATCCATGATCTTGCGCAACCCTTGATCCATTGTCTGAGGTGGGTAACTGTTTTACACCCGACATGGATTGGACTTTAGTGGTCACCTCTGCTCACTAGAACTCACTAGAACATGATTACTATCAGAATGAGGACATATTTGGTTGAGCTATCTACAACTGTGTGCTATGGATAATGCCGGTATGGGAGATACCGACATTTAGAGTAGAAAACACAAATATGGTGAAAGTTGCGGCTGTGAAATGAAATATATAATGTTATCACACCTCATTATTTATCACTCACTGACTAAAGAAACAGAAGAATAGTGTGATGTACTGAATAAAACGCAATCAGTGAACAGGAAAACTTTGTGGTCAACATCAGCCCGTATTCCCAATTTTTATACATTGAATGTGAGTTTATGGAAACCTAAATGACGTTCTCATTTAATATATATTTCCGTATGAGCTTGGTTTAGTCGGAAATTTCGTTTTGTATTTTAGACTGCTGAAACACTTATGAGTAGTCTATAAATGCATGACTACATTTACAAGGACAGTGTTAATTATAATAATTTTAAAAATGCCGAGTTTCACCCTTCATAAAATGAGATTTAAAGAAAGCCCATTACGCAGCCTTTCTAAAATTTTTTCAATCTAAACACAAGACAAAACAATAACTAGGGCATACAATTATAACAATGTAACAAAGTCTTTGAAAAAGCTTGGACCAGACTGCCAGGCGAAACGTTGGATTTTCTTCAAATTCCTTCGCTGAGATTTTTTGCATATACATTCTTCCTCTTTAATGTAAAAAAGTCCCTCTTGAACTTTTGAATTAACAAAGTAGAATTTTGATTGCATATGTCATTTGGAAATAAATCTAACTGGGTGTACTGGCGATTAGGTTGATAAGCTTATTTAAAATAGTGTATAAAGAACGTGTTAGTATGTATAAGCAATAACCTATTCCGATAAACACTTAAACTACACTTTTAACCATTTTACTCAACCAATCTGTTTTATCAGTTCAGAGAATAGAATCTTTGGGAAAAAAGAAATATCATAGATAAAAACTTTTGTCTAAATTTGATCGAATAGTTTCACAGTATTTGGGCGCCGAGTTAATGTGAGACATTAAAGAGGAAGAATGTATTTCCTTGAAAAAGCTTGGACCAGATTGCCAGGCAAAACGTTGGATTTACTTCAAATTCTTTCGCTGAGACTTTACAAATACATTCTTCCTCAGAAATATCATAGTTTTTGAATATCTGTTACTCATCAGTCTATTAGTTCATAGAGCCATTTCGATCATATTAATGTGAGGTCTTCTGGATTCATTTGAACATAACTTTATACAAATGAGTGTTACGTGATTCAGATATACATCACTGCACAATTACACACAATATCACTAAGTTTTATTAATCTGTTTTATAATATATGAAAACTATATAGAAGTTTAAATTCCGTATAAGTTTTTGGAAACTATCTAGCAACAGATGTAAAATTAAACAAATTCAAACAAGTAGGTAAATCAAATGTACTTGTATGTTCTCAGTAACATTTAAATTGTTTAAATTATTTGTTTCACTTTCAGAAAAACCACTGACTACCACCACCTACAAATGAGTTTCAATATGAAATGGAGTTTAAAAATACAAAATTTAAAAACATTAAGCTGAACAATTGATTTTCTAGTCACGTATTTTTTATTTTTAACATTACAGCATTTATTTACCAACTAGCCGTAGAGTTTTTTATTTCAAGCTGATATGCAAATCGAATAACAGAGAAATTACAATATATTTATTTACAACGAGGAGAGAACACAAATAAACACATGTGTTTGCTTTCATGTAGATGATCACAATGCCTTCTGACACTGATAAACATTACAATTATTCATTGTAATCAGTTAATTTTCTGGTATTTTTGTACAACAGGTAATTCCTAGCTGCAGGATGAATTTTTAAATATATATATTCAAAATGCACAAAGAAACAGTTAATATCCAGCAACATAAACCAGGGAATCTACACGATAAAGTATATTTAACAAAACACTCATTTACTGTGGTTTTTGCACATATGAGTTTATTCTAAAATGCAAGTATCCTGGCAATTGTGGCAGTTACTAAGGCTAAAGTAGTCCAAACTAATAACTCGAAAAATTGTAGATTAACTTAGTCCCTTACCATAATAATTATTACAAATGTTAAAATCTAACCCTTTCTTTTAAAGACTAAATGTTTCTTTTTTTTTTCAAATTTGTCATTCATAGGTTATGTTGGTATTGGTGTTCATAGTAGCTGTAATTATTTATCGGTTTTTAATAAAAATTCCATTATTTCAAAATAAACTACTTCGTTCCAATGCAGAAATATACGCAACACTTTCAGCAGCTATTGTAAATCTTATTCTGATTATGTGTTTGGGGAAAGTGTATGAAACATTAGCTTACAAAATGACTCAATGGGGTAAGATACACATTTATTTTTGACATATGTGATATTGAAATTGTTTGGTGTAGTTTCTTCATTGTTATTAATAAATTATAGTATTATTTAAAATGGGACTTTAGATCAAGGTGTTCTTTAAACAAACATGTCTGCATGATCAAATAAACTTTGTATGTACATATGTTTTTTCCGGTACTATAATCAGTGTTTTCTGTTTTATAGTCGAAATAAATGAATCAAAAGGTTTTACCTAATCATCCTAATAGATGTTTACGGATGCTGCATGTAATTCTATCAATTCAGTTAATTCTCAAAGTATCTTTCGGTTATATAAAATTCAAAATATTGACCAGGAAAATATTATGGTTAGAATGGGGTCTGTGAAGATTTTAGAAATTTAATAGTTGAGTTCATAAGTCGATGTAAGCTCAACCACCATTGAAAATCTGGATGCACTGGACAGCTGTTTCGTCCTAGTGTGGGGCTCTTCAGCGGTGCGAATCCACGACCTCGCACGTGGGATTCGAACCCAAGACCTTCGGTGTCGCATGCTTTCAGGTTTTCAATAGCGGTCTAGCCTTAATCGTTTCATGAATTCAGCTACTGAAAAAAATATTAGTCATTGTTGTGAGGCGTTCAAGCATTGCTGAGAAGTCTCATACTAGGGTGAAACGACCATTCAGTGCTCCGAGGTTTTCCATGATGATCTAGCTTCATTTGACTCATGAATTCAATTATTAAATTATAAACTCAATCAAAAAGAAGGCCATAAATAGATTACTATAGCCTGATAAATATAATTCATACAGTTTTTATTCTCCCAGAACAAATCAAAACTTAATTCTTCGTCATTTATACATTCTCAAAACAAGTGTTTAGTTTGTAGTTTGTCTTCTAGAGGTCAAGAAGTAACAATTAATTAGAATATATATATATATATATATATATATATATATATAGGAGAGGAAGAGAGAAAGAGTCAAACTAAACAAACATTTTAAAGATTAACTAATAACAGGTTTTATGGCATCTTTCCAAGAAACAAAATGGTATATCATATGTACAGTGAAATTTATCATTGAAAAATCAAAACTAATATCATGCTAAGATTCAAAACTTATTTTAGAAACCCTAAACTTTAAATAGTAAAATAAAAGTACAGTTTTATTCGCTTATATATTTTTTGTTTTATAGAGATGCATCGAACTCAAAGTGAATTTGACAACCAGCTGATTTTTAAAGTTTTTTTATTTCAATTTGTGAATTTCTATTCATCCATATTCTATGTAGCATTTTTCAAAGGACAGTGAGTTGTTGTGTATATTTTTTTGGATTGATTTTTGTTTTCAAAGACATGCTCTAAATAGAATAATGTTTTGATGAAGTTGTATATTCAGCGTATTCAGCGTTAATAAAAAATAATGATTTAATACACTATGGTTTATATTTAAAAACTTAGGAACCGTTTGGTCTAAAACACAATTATAATTTCATTATTCCTCATTACTCCTCATTCTTTGTTGGTATGATGATAATAACGATGTCCATTTCAAGACTAAAAATCAGTTATGCTATTTTTGTTGTTGTTGTTGTGGATGCTAATGTGCCAAAAACTTTCATTAAAAAAAGACTAAAGAAAACAAATAAAATAAGTAGTAAAATGAATAGTGCGAAACATTAAAAAATATTGAATAAGCTATTTACTCTCTTCAATTATTTACCATCGTAAAAGTTTCATACTGTTTTCTGGAAAAGAATAATCCTGTTAACCATTTTGTGGTTTTTGATAAATAAATATTTACATAATCACTAAACATCTTCAGAAAGATAAATTGATCATAGTGAATGATATAGTAACTCTCCTATAATCAATTTCGATTATGGTTAAGTTTTGGTCAAGACCTTTTGTTAACTTACTTAACAGACTATGTTATTCGAACAGTAACAATTCGTCTATTTCTCTGTACTATTATGATCTCTATCTTGTCTGTATAAATGTGTACTCTTGATCACATGACAGCCTACGTACACATCTCTCTCTAGGTTAAATGTTGATAGATAAAAATATCGCCGGATGAATCGTTCTCCTCCCCATGTATATATGTAATCGAATCCGATTATTAGCCTCTGCCTTTCCTAGTTGTGCCTTATTCGATTTCACTATGAATTCGCCTCTGTAGTTGCTCACACACACACATTCGCCTCTCTGCTTCAAATTCGTTCGATGTGCTCGTAGCTTTGTTATCTGTGCTATTCGCACATAAAGAGCAATCGCCGCTCCTTATTGCCTTTTGATTACAAACTGTGTTGGGATTTATATTATAACAGTTATCGAGGTGATTGATTAACGAAGCTAAGCCAATACAATAAATTAGAACTTATAATAAGATCGCATTTAGATGTTAGCTCACTTTAAAAACCCTATTCACTTCAAAAACAAAGAATATTTGAGCGAACAATTTAGTAACACGATTCATTGTTTTACTATTATATTGTCAATAACGTGATACTATTATGAATCATTCTGAAGTATTTATGTCGTAACAGACGCAAAAGTTCACTATTTTTAAAATGTAACATTGTTATGTCTTATTTATCACAATAATAATGGGCGGCTGATCAATTTTTTAAAATCGATCGTTTATGTAGTGAATAAAAACACAAGCGGGAACAAACAAATATATTTGATCGCAAAATTACAGAATCTCTTAGTAAAATATGAGAACTATATATTAAACACTTCATTTGCAAAATGTCAATCAATTGTCTCAGATCTGACTGTTCCTTCGTTTCCATACCAATCGTTCTTGCTCTCTTTTCGTTGATCTTTTTAACCGTTTGCCTCCAGACATTGAACTTTCGATTGATGATACACACTACTTATATCTGTCGACATCAGTAGCATACACTACAGTTCATTCAAATATTCTTTAGTTTTGAACATTCTGTGGTGATTTTTAAACTGTTCTTTTCATTTACGTTCTATATATATTTTTTACTTATTGTTTCATAATCCTTGTAGGTGTAATCTGACTAAAATCCTAAACCGTACGGTCAATTTTAACTTTCCTTGTAACTGGTTATCATATTCTCTCTAAGACCAGTATTGCTTTTTTTAGGAAAAATTGTTATTTAATCGTAAATCTCATATTACATCATAGTAATGAAGTTTGATATATTTTTAAGGTTTATTAAATTATTCATATTTTTAAATCTAGAATGGTTGGTTATCCTGGTCATTACACATCCTTTTTCGGCCTACGTAACGAAGCATGTGATAATGGTGGTTGTTTGATTGAATTAGCCCAACAATTACTTGTTATAATGGTTGGAAAACAAATCATTAGTAATTGTCAAGAAATTCTGCTTCCGTGAGTACACGATATTTTGAAATATTTTTTGACAGTAATTCTCGGTTTAGATGACTACTTTTCCAATTACGTAAGTTATTATACAATGATGAAATCATCATTTTGTTGATGAACTCAGATTTATAGTTTAAAACTGAAGCCTAAAGGGATACTAACCATAAAATGTATAGATTAGTTTCAGGTACAACGTAATTCATAGTTAAGTCAATCAATGAAATAAACCTTTCACAAGATCATACAATAAGGCTGATAATCGTAGTAAATGATACTGAACAATGGACCAAAATTTAACACTGATAGATCCAGCAATACTTTTCTACACATCATGTCGAGTTGCTGATGTGAACTTTGCTAATGTTTTATAATGAAAGTTAAGTTCATTGAAAGGAGGAGACCTGAATAAACATATCGAAATAGCTGTAATTTTTCCATCTATAAGTAAAACGCTTGTTCATTAATGAAAGCATTGTCTACGGTTTAGTTTTTTATAATGATATCATCTTAGAGATTAATCAGATTTGAAGGCTTAAATTATAGACTACAGTAATGATGAGAATAATTTGTCATCTATGAAAAAGAATATTACTCTCAAAGTATATCCAAACTGTTGCTTATTTGGAATGAAAATTTTCACTATAAGTATGATGTAAAAATGATTGTCATCACTTAACTTTTAACTACTAAATCTTATAAACCTAGTTCAACATAATTTTAAAATGTAAATTCACAAATTTCAACTGGTTTATTATCTGTAAGCTCCCACTGAAAAAAACTAAACAATTTGCAAGAAAAATAAGTAAATGAAGATTTAGGATAATTGGTTAAATCTCGAACCCCTATGAACCACTATTTGTCATTTATCTAACTGTTTAAAGATCACCATCATATTAAAAGACTAATATTTGAAGCAAGAATATTCTTTTCGATAAATTCTCTTCAGGTTCTACAATTATATATTCAAATTAATAATCCAAAGAATGGCCAGGTTAAGGGCAACGTACATCGTTTAAAACATGTGAATTTAGGATTGTTAAACAAAATATGTTGATATGACTTATATAGAATGTTAACTTAAGTGTGCATAAATCTGAGTGACTGATAGGTCCTGGATTCGAATCTCGCGTGGGGTGAGATCGTGGATGAGCACTGCTGAGGAGTCCCACAACGGGACTAAACGGCCGTCCAGTGCTTCCAGGTTTTCCATGGTGATCTAGCTTCAAATGACTTATGATCTCAACCAGTGAATATGATATGATATCCACAAAACCCATTCTGATGTTAATCTGCATATATATTAAGTGGAAATTTAAGATCCATTATCGGAATAAATATGGGTCAGATAGGGTGAGCGAAATAATAGTGCATTTACAATTCGATCAAATGTTTAATTGAAGGCTATATTGCGTGAAAAAATTAGTAGGACGTAATAAGGAGGGATGAATGCGGAATGAATGAATCATGTATAGGGGAGATTAATAATGATGTTTAACTAATAATCATCATCATAATAATCATGTCTTCTCACTGTATTATCGAAATTTATCAAAAGGACTAATTGTTTTAAATAATAATAATAATACAAAGATTTGTGAATAAAGATAACAGAAACAATTACAATTGACTACGAAAGGTCGTAAGTACGATAGTCGAATTAGGTCATTCAATAGCTAAGATTACTTTGGTTAATTGGCCTCAAGTTTGGCCAGGGGAGGAGAGGTTGGAGATAGTTCTTTTGTATGCATAGCCGTTTGAAGTACTTTAAGTCTGACAAGTTTTGACAAAAAATTACTGATCCTATAAATAAGTGAAAAAGATTGTTTGATACTGGCACTATGACCAGTTTGTACTAAATGGGTCAATATCGATCTGTTCATTTTCTTCATCAGACCTTTGTTTAAATACAGCGGAAGGTGTTCACGAGCACGAAAATGTAAAGTCCTAGGACTTCGACCAATATATACGTCGCTCTACAGGAACAGTCGGACTGATAAATACAAAATGAGGTGGTCATTCTAGATAATTCATCTTTTAGCCTAGGTGTCATCATTGGGCGCGTAGAAAACATTTCATGTAGTTCTTCGGGATTAAAAGATTTTCGCACTGTCCTGCGTAATCTCTGAGTTAATATTTTACTGGCCACACCCTTCTGAATTGTGGACGCATGAACAGGGATTTCTTCTTCACCGTTTGTATTTCGCCTATTTTCACCTTCGTGATCATATATTTAATTATAAACATTCTAGGGTAACCGTTCTTCCCAAGAGCATTATGCAAGGTATTAAGTTCATCTTCAACTATATCCACAGAACATATAGTGCGTATTCAGTAACTAAGGGTTTTGATCAAGTTTCGTTTGCATTGTAGAGGTACAAAGTTTAGGAAATACGTGTACTGCCCAGTCCAGGTACCTTTTTTTGTTTAAGTTCCTTTTTATCTAATTTATTAAAAATATTTAGAAAGAATGATTTGTAAAATTCAAAAAACAAATTAAATTTCGCTGATTCATCTTTGAATTATTACACAGTAAACTACGTGCTTGGTTCCATAAATACCGAAAGGGATTAAATAAGAGGAATGTTGCTTCAACTAGTGATCTGAGCTCAGCGCATATATTTATTGAAGACTATAAATTAATACCATATGAAGGACTATTTGATGAATATCTTGAAATGGGTAAGTCTTTCTACATACTACTGTAATTTCTTAAATAATTATTGCTACTATTTGAATAAAACCCACATTATGAATTCAAATGGTATTCATAATTCAAGTGTACTAAAAGTATAACTATTGTTTCAAATATTTCATATATTTACTCCCTTTAACAGAATGTACTTTTATCGTCTTATTCCTCTTTCTGATGTTGTCTAATAAATTTTTCAGTAGTTGAAATCACGAGCCAATTGAAGCTAGACCACCATGGAAAACCTGGAAGCACTGAACGGCCGTTTCGTTCTAGTCTGGGACTTCTTAGAAGTGCGCATCCAAGACCTCGCCCCCCCCGCTCGCAGCATCGTGGATGCGCACTTCTAAGAAGTCCCAGACTAGGACGAAACGGCCGTTCAGTGCCTCCAGGTTTTCCATGGTGGTCTAGCTTTAATTGGCTCGTGATTTCAACTACTGAAATTTCTAAAATCCCCACAAAACACCTGATAATAAATTATTGTTTTCATTTCATCATAATGATAGTTCTTTATGTATTTATTGTTTCGACAAATCAACTGATAAGTTTCATACATTTCTAATTGGACAGATAAGTCAAATAATTTCAACTATCCCATACTTACTGATCTATTTGAAATAATATTTTGAAATATGGTAGCTTTAACAGCTTCAACTACGATGATAACTAGGGAAAATAGTTTATATCTGGAGGAAAAATATATTTCTTCACTGTCACAAACAATCTTTATTAATATGAGCAAATAAATACAAAATCTAAAGTCTACTATTTCCTACCGGTTGGTTGGTGAATTTAAGTGCGCACGTAGGAGTGTATCACAAAAATAGAGGGCATATATTTGGAAACTTTGGGGGAAAATCATAGTAACGGTTATTTTATTTTGAAAGCTAGGTGAAAGCTACCGAAACAATTTACAGTAGTAATTTAGAGTGATCAAAGGACACAATACAGTAACTGGATATTTATTTTCCCTGAAGTATTTTAAATAAACTAATGAATTCATAGATAAATTATGGTAGAGGCTAAAAATAACTGATCACATATTATTACATCTAAATAAAATTCTCAATTTAGATTAGGTTTAAAGCTGATATAATGACTGTTTCAGCTGATCGATAGTAGTAAGCAGGAAACATGGAGCTTATGTTTCATGTTAATCAGTATTTGTTCATAAAGTTTATCTTTCATCTCAAGAGAAATAATTCTTCCTTGAAGGATTCGGATTCCTTTCGACCAGTTTCACAGTTTAAGATTTTGCAACTGAACTATTCGGCTACCAGTCAGTCATACAGCAGGTAAGCGACCTTGCATAAGATCCAAGAGATAACATCACCTTCCACAAAATAATAAGTGCATCTTACTGACGCGTGTTAGCTAGTATGAAACCTAAGTCAAGGGTTTCCACCTAAGTACTTCAAACCCCATAATAACTCAATACATTGTACATCAAGTCAATTCTCTTGGACTCATGACAACATTGGAACACGATCAACAGAGTCTGATCAGTCCTGGATGATCAATACTCAGTAATCTATCAACTGAAATTTAAAGTTTGTTTTAAAAAGTATCACAAAAAGTTGTTGAAAATCAAATCAAAATATGTGTGCGTTTAACAGGAAGGCATTTTATAAACCCAGTAACTCAAATCAAAGCACAAGATTTAGTTGAAAACTAAAAAAATCGGTTATTTATTTCCTGATTCATTATATTCTTATAAGTCTAGTTTGACCCACAGTTTATTACTTTAATTATATTGAAAAAAATACATTTAATTAGATATATTAGTACGAAACGTGCTTTGTTCATTACATTTCGAATCTCGTGAGGCGGGAACGCAGATGAGCACTATTGAGAAGTCCCACAATAGGACGAAACGGCCGTCCAGTGCTTCTAGGTTTTCCACGGTGGTCAAGCTTCAAATGACTCATGAATTCAACTATTATCATTACATTTTGTTAAATACATTAACATATATTACTAATACGGATACATTTAGAGCTAGTATTTACAATTAATGTAGGGAATTTACTGTCAGATGTTACGTGAATATGCCGAAATTAGTATGTCAAAATTTAGGTTTTTCCCTAGATCATAATTGTAGAATTTAATACTTCATCAGATTCTTGAATCTCTTTTCTGTCTTCCAAATTTCATTTCGTATTCACTGGAACGAAGAAACATTTATCAATAGAAATCATTGAAGTTTATTTTAAATGACGCAACTCACTTCATCGATCGTTTCAGTTTTTCAATAAAAATACTATTATTACATTAGTAAATATTGAAAAGATCATGTAACTGAAATTTTCAACCATTTGAAATATAATGTGGATATTTGAGATTTATTTGATATTAGAATCATGCAACTAGAAACTCAGCTAGCTGATGAACAAAATATTATTCTTAGTTAATGATGTGTGGACGAAAATGATAATGATTGGTTGTTTGCTTAGTCAAAATTGTAGACAGTCTGACAGGCGTTAGATGAGTTACATATTCTCCTATCCTTATTATTATTGTTGATTGTTGTTGGATTGTGTCGGCTTGTTTTCGGTTTTTGATGTGGAGATATATTTGCATTCTAGTCACGTGTTGTTGATCTGAGTTGTGTCGAAGTCCTGTAGAATAGACACTGGGAGAGAATCTAGTGTACATATTCGTTTAAGGCAAATTAACGTCCCATTTGTAAAGACAAGGAAACTCCGAGCGTTATAACAGCTAAATACATCCATTATGTTCGCATTAGAATTTAAGACACATAAACTCCGGCATCCTAGTGATTAAAATCAATTCATCACACAAATGAATTTATAAATGTGATGAAAGCGAGGTAAGGGTCCTGTAATCCATAAATAAATACACCAGAATAGTATTTTGAGAAATGCAGTTCAGTTAAAATTGCAGTCGAGAATAACTTTAATTTATAGGGTGATCGTCTCATTTTTATAAAGAGTGCAGTAAAAACTGTAGCAGGATATCAACACTTTGGTTATCTTTTTAATGATTTAATGCACAGAGAGTGAACGTTGGAACGAAATTTGCACAATACTTAAGCTCTTCCTTGGTGTGTCATGCTGGAATTTCTTGGAATAAGCTATGGTATCATTATTATCCAACCACTCAAAAAGGTACATTGTGTACATTTTTGATGATGGTTGTAGTAGTTCTCTATGTTTCGGCTCAACAGAACTGTTTCGACGTTTGTATTGAGGATTCTGACTTCAATATCGGTTGACAGTTGTTTTGAGTTCTATGTGCTCTTCATTTGTAAGAATTGTAGGAATCATGGATACATACTACTCAGAATTACCTTACTTGAATGAATTTTCTATTCAGTCCATTCAGTTTCTCAGTGATTATCTAACGTAAATCAGTGAGTGATCTCAATAAATTGGTATAAAATCTAAGTGTTATTCAATATTTCTTAACAATATATTTCCTCCAAAATAATCCTTCTAATATGCCTATAAAATGTAATTAGTTATAAGCAAAATTCACAAAATTGATTATATATTGTATAGACCACTCAAATCTACAGTTTCACACAAATTATTTCTACTTATTCTTATTACCCAGTAGAGTAATAGCATAGGTCCGAAAAAAATGTGTTAGTACATTTAAATACTTCGTTTGAATTATGTTCTGTAAAGCAGTAAAATAAATGGATATTATTAAATTAATTAATATAGATATATTACATTGGACATTTTGTAGAAATCCTAGTTACTCAATAGATTAGGAATAGGTTACTTGATTAGATAAAATTGAATTATTTAATATTTTGAATACTAAAAATAATACTATACATAACAAAAACTATAACCTAAATTCTACTGAACTTGATTATAGTTCTTCAATTCGGATTCATTACAATCTTTGTGGCTGCCTTTCCATTAGCTCCATTCTTTGCATTACTTAACAATTGGATTGAAATTCGTTTAGATGCCAAAAAATTAGTATGTGAAACACGCAGACCACTGGCGGAACGGGCACAAAATATAGGCGTTTGGTTTAGAATTTTAGAGTTTCTTGTTCGATTGGCTGTAATTTCAAATGTAAGTAAAATTGTTATTCTAATATACGAATAATAACCCATTTTGTTAATCAGATGGAACTGTAACTGCAAAGTGGTTGAACAAATTTTAAATGTTTTATATCTATTCTTATTGTCACGTACATGCTTTGTGTTTCTTTCTTCAAATTTGTATCACTACTAACAATGTGTTATCTCATAGACAGATTTTTTTCTATTTTTAATTCTTCTATCATTATTTAACGTGTCATTTGATTCATGTATGAAATCAATACGTTTCTAACTGTCAGGTAATAATAATATCTAACATGTATAATGTAGCATTGATATATGTAACTAGGCTGAACTAATAAAGTGAAAATTGGACACTGAGATTTTTAAGAAAGATACCTGTTACTTACTGAATTTCTCTTACAAAAGTTTACTATCACAAAGTGATATTTTAAATGAGTTCCATGTATGTATGATTTGATTGAAATAATTGCCTAGTAGACTAAAATCTTAGTCTAATACTCTATACATTATACGGTAAAGTTTAAAACAAAACTATTTTATGCAATTTGTTCTGTGATCAACTTCCTAATCAATATAGTTCCTTTTAGTAAATCCTAGGTGGCCCTTAAATTACAAATTTATTAAATTATTTCTTAGCCTACTTAAATTTCTAATTCATCAATCCTGTCAATATTCCCTATTTAAGAAAGAAACTCAATGTGTTTCCAGTTGTACTTAATAGAAGGTAATTTTAAATACAGTTCATAATGTATTTTAAATATATGACCTTAAAATATTTTTGAGAAATCATCAACAATTCTGGTTCATTACAATCTTTGTGGCTGCCTTTCTACTAGCCCCATTCTTTGCGTTAAATAACAAGTTCATTAAAATTAGTTTAGATGCCAAAAAATTTCCTCTACATAAAATCCAATTCATTGAACCGATGAAAATATATGATTAAAATGCATAGATAGCTTTCAATTTATACATTCTAACAAAATGCTTTCTAGCAGTTTGTTATTTCTTTATATAGTGTAGTGAAAGAACAATGAATTAATCTCGGATGATTAAAAATGAACCATGTTTTTGTCTACAAGTTCTAAATATATTCACTTTTACACATTCCAGGTACTGGATATTTCATGATTTCGATTAGGATGGATAATTTTCTCATCAAACTTTAGTGCATAAAATATTGTTGGAACATTAAGAAGTAGTAAAAAACCTGTCAGACGATTTACTAACACATAAGTTACATATTACATCCGCCTAAATGTATGAAAAATAGCAAGTTTTATATCTCTTTAACTCTGAAAATCAGTCAACGAAAAAGAAATGGTCAAACATATTATTTCATAATTCTCAGTTCGGATAATGTCTATTCGTGGCAAAAGCTATCGTTGTAATGAACGAAACTTGCGGAGAAACACATAACAAATAATTGTGTGCTTATTGTCGACTCAATATATCACAAGTAACCGATTAAATTCCGACTTGCGAGTCCAATGGTGCTATGCTATGATAAGTGAAGGTCCTGTTTTCTGTCCACTACTAAGATAGTATGTGTTTATTTCTGAGTATTCCTTAGCTCGGATGCAACCTCCTTCCTGCCTTGCTTCCAGCCTTTTATCAGCTGATATTAATTTATGATAAATTATTGTTTAAGTTAAATGAATGTTCACAAAAATATGTTCAAAATAACAGTTTCAAAGCAACCTACGTTGTTTTAGTCAACTTATTTGGTATGAATTACAAATGGATGTTATGTCGAATAAAAATACAAAAGTTGAAATCAAACTATTTAGCTGAAAAGCCAAATACAAATAAACTGAAGTGCCCGTCATTAGTTTCTAAGGTGATTTTATGTAGTTAAGATTAATTAACGCAAGAAACTGGGTTGGGTTAGTAAAGTGACCAGTTTTCAGATTATCAGACTGTTGCTCCAAATGATGAACGAAAACATTATAACACTGAGCAAATGTTTCAGCAGTATTTTAAATAATGAGCACTGAGGCAGAGTATTGATGAATACCAAAGCACATTCATTTTCATCCCTATTCTCAGCCGTGAAACCTGAGCTTTTTCGAACTTAAAGATCGAATATAGGCTGTAGTGAAACTAACATTCATACGATAATCTACCACAATATGTACCGATTGAAATAGAAATAATGCTTGTTGTTAGCTAACAAAACAGTAAGTATGTGTGGATTAGAATTCCACTATGTTTTAATGCTGTTCTCCAATCATCACTTCATACTTCATTTGCACACCAAAGTAAATAAGACCTCCTAACAAGTTTAGACGTAAGTCCAATTTCTTTATGTTTCTCATCAGAATATAGTACATAATTCCAATTAACCACTTGCTTTTTAGGCATCTGCACCTATATTGATCGACAGACTTTATCCCAAAAAGTCTGTAGAGGAAAATAAAGCATCTTATTTCTGTAACCTTTGTGTGTTTATCGCGGATGAATCCAATAAAATTCGCTTATTCTAGTAAATTTCAATCATTCAGAAACTGATACTTTGTATGTGTACTTTTCAACCTACTGTTGCAGGCCTTCATCATTGCATTCAGGTCAAGTTTTCTCCCTGAACTCATGTATAAACATGAAGTTAGAAGTGATTTAGTAGGATTTACTAATTTTACTCTAGCGTGGGCTCCTCCGAATACTACATCACAACCATGCAGGTTAGTGAATTTTCTGATATTTACTACTAACTAGTTTGCTGTGAAACAAAGCAAATTTGTTTCTAAAAGTAATGAAATCCACACATATTTATAACATTTGAGTATAAGTGAATACAAGACGAAGTAGTTTATGTGTTTTCCTTTTCTACTAATTTAGTTTTCGAAATATTCTGTCTACATGCTGATAATTGACAGCTACATAGCTGGTGACAGATTTCCAGCTAAATGCAATAACTAGAAGAACCTAGCCAAAATAGCATCTGTTTAATAAGGTAGATGCAATGGGTAAATTATCTACAATTTGCGTGACTTAAGTTAGTACTTATTACAGCTGCAGTGTCGCTAAGCCAATAAGCTAAGATCACATTACAGTTGTGATCTAAATATACAACAAAATAACACCAAAAGTTTGAAAACACAGTTCCAAGTCGATTGATTTTGATATTCATCAGTTTCTGATGTTTTGTTCATAACGTTCAAAATGATTACTGGAATCGTCTGAGAGTACGAATAAATTCCAGTCATTCTCTTTGTAATAATTAAGCTTGGACAGTTGGGTAGAAAGTTAATAATAAATGCAATTTTTTGTTACATAGCATTTAAAAGAAAATTGTATTTCTGACGTTCCGTAACTTAATGCAAGTCACTTCTTTACAGTAAGTAAACAACCGAAATAAAATTAACCCAAGTTTAAATAGTGCAAAGGAAACAATGCAGAAAATATTTGGTACAATCAAAATCATGATAGGTGGGTATGAAAAATGTATAAAGTAGTGGGGTTGAAATTGTTTGTATGTATATGTACATTGTGTGGAAAATTAATATGATCAAATGCAGTTGTTAGATAAACAAAACAGGTTAGATGGATATTCAGGCTTTATTTCCTAATGAGAGCAGAAGGATTTAGCATAATATGAAACGCTTCGGCTACTCTTCTCCCTTTGTAGTTGGGAAAATCTTTCTGAATTATTTTGATATTTTTACCATTAATCTAGTGATTATTGAAAATAGAATGTACGGCTATTGTTGACTTGTAAATTTTCCAAAGACCTAACAACCCTGTAGAATTGTGTACATTTTCATACCCACCTTCTGACGCACAAATTAATACAGTGACAAATCATACAAATTCATTTTGACCAAGAATAACTTGACATTGATGAATTCAAACCTATTATGATTTTGATTGTACCAAATATTTTCTGCATTGTTTCCTTTGCACTATTTAAACTTGGGTTAATTTTATTTCGGTTATTTACTTACTGTAAAGAAGTGACTTGCATTAAGTTACGGAACGTCAGAAATACAAATTTCTATTCATTGGTATATAACCAAAAAATTATATGTATTACGAATTTTCTATTGAATGCCCAATTCATTTAAAACTATCAAGTCCAACCTTGACATTAATACCTAATATTTAGAGAATAATGATTAAATTATAAAAGTGCCTACTCCTGATTCCTGCCATACCTGCTAGCTATTGAGTATAATGAAATCAGAGATAAAGTGATATATAGTCAAACTCAGCAGCTTCATAATGATATGTAATATTACCAATCAATAAATAGATTAATTGGTCATTGAGTTACTTCAGCTGAATGATAATAAATTTTTGATAAAAAGTTTAATGAAATTTATATCATTCCATTATTTTCACCTAATGCTCAAAGAAATTCAAAATAATTTTATTACTATTTAGTTCAACAATTATATTTTCTCATTTGTTTAAGTGAAACGCTGCGATACCCTGAGGAAAGGTTAAATGACTACAATCAAAGTATATAAGAAATCTACTCTTCGATCGTAAAATTCATTCGTGTTAAAGTTCATCATATAAATAATGTTAAATAAATCACGTCCAAAATAATTGATTATTGTCCATTTTTCTCAAACAACATAGCTTCTGCGTATATATCACGTTTATTACATAATAACCAAGTACCACGCTAACAAGATCAAAGATGACGTGGACTTTATTATTTTATATTTCATAACATGTATTTGTAAACATAATAACATTATAGATATCAGTATGAAAAACTTGTCAAGCTGTATTTTTAAAGCAAATATTATTTTCAGTATGAGGATTAGTGGAGATTGTAGTATTTTAACAGTTGAATTCACGAGTCAATCTCAAGTTATGAATTAGACTGTCAAAATATTATTTTATTTCTACTACTACACATCAATCAAATTATTAGTTTAGTCATAAATATATCTTGTCAGTAAACAGCTAAAATTTGTAATAACCTGTCCATGTATAGAGTCTTCATAGTGCATCTTGTTATTTTTGAGCCTTATACAAGTGTTCACTTGTATACGTTTCTTTTTATGACTCATGATATTTAAGAAATGCTTAGTTAGTTAGTTATTCTTATGATTATATTTATAACGAAATAAAATGAACTAAATTAGACCATCGGTGTTACAGTTTCCTCTTAGACTATGGTACATCATCAGTCTATAGATACAAATAAACAAATTTTTCAGATATACTAGATAGATATACGTCCGAAGTGAAATGAACAACTGATATTAGGGGCCTTTAACATCGGTATTTAGATATCTGCTTTGTAATAGTAACGATCACGATGATAATCACTGAAAGTTGAGATAAATAATTGACTCGAAATAGTAAATCATAATATACAGTGACTTTATATGTAGAATTCAACTTCCTTTTTAAAAAATACAAATAAACTATAGAAGCATCATTTGGTTTGATGGATTAAACAATTTGTGTAAAGGCATCCACTAACTGCATAAGTTGATTTTCCATACTTTACAGGTATAAAGCTTTTCGGGATAATAATGGTGAATATTCGATGTTTTTCTGGAGACTTTTGGCTCTCCGTCTGGCGTTCGTAATCGTTTTTGAGGTAACTGTATAAATATGTATATGAGAGCTACCAAAATATTGTCTATTTCACATAAACATGGAATTTGTAATAGAATATTGCAGCATGGTGAATAGATTTTTGTTAAGCAGTTTGCTAAATTAGTCTGTTCATTTGGTAGATGAATATAATAGGTAAGGCAACTTCGCTTAAGTGACATAACACAATTTCCAGTGTTCGTATTCTTATTCATGTGCACTAGTGATTTGTATGTAGTGTTTTGAATTTCTCGTTACAGTACATGTTACAAGACATTTTTCATAAAACAACAACAGGTTCCTTCAATTTAGATAAACACAGTGAACTTATCTGAGTCATCGTATTCCCTATTGCTAACCTCGTAGTGTATTCGCGGCGTTACTCAATCACTCTTGTAACCGCTATTACATACATTTCGACGGCGTTTCAAATCAGAAGGCAATGACAAGCCGCAACTTTAGTTTTATTAGCGGCAAGCGAAGATCACAAAGCACAGAGGCGAATATGTATGTACGAGCCAATTCATAGGCAAATTAATTTATAGTCAGATCATATAAGGGCACAGCAAGCAAAGCAAAGTACAATGATAGGATTTGAGTACATATATACATGGGGAGGAGGATGAATCATCGAGTGATGATATTTAAGCGATCAACATTTTAGCAAGTGTCTCTCATGTGATCTAGTGATCACAACAGAATCAAGAAATATGCGAATTGCCACTGTTCAAATAACATTGTCTGTTAAATAAGTTAATAAAAGGCCTCAACCAATACTGACCATGATCGAAATTGTTTGTAGGACAGTTACTGTGATCCGATATAATAGAAGTATGGTTGGTTTTGTGCAATTTCTGTAAATAAAAAACTCCAAATTTTCTTCCCGAGAATATTAGGAATATTTTTTCTTACAACAAAGCACTATTTCTTTTAATGTTGAATTATTTTGGTTCCACGATTAAAAATGTACTGAGCAACCATTCAACTATGTAAGAATGTAACAACCAGATAAAATGGAAACGTTTTGCCTCAATCACAATAGGTTTTGTTCAATGAACAAACTAGTCGAAAATCCACACATTTGTTTAACATTCAGTTTTGTTCACATTGAGTGAATATTCTTTATCCAAATGTTTCTGTTACAAAATTGTCCATTTAAATAAAAACATAATCGGGACTTTTGTCTTCTCAGGTTCTTTGAATGCATCTCACAAATAATTGCTGTCTTGATTCTATCGGTTGTTCTAATTTGGCACAACAAGTGATCAGGATAATCACAAAGGAAACTAAATAACATTCTCTAACACTAATCACTCTGATTACATACATTTCACTTAATTTACTTTGATCTTAGTAGATAATCGATTTCATTAATGATGACGTATTTAATTTTCTAGCATGTGGCATTTGTTTTGGCGAACGCTCTTGACTTCTTCATCCCAGATGTTCCAAGTAGTTTGAAAGAACGTATTCAACGAGAACGATTCCTGGCAAAGCAAGCCCTTTTGGATATTAGTTTGGTAAATTCACCTATCATCGAAACTATATATTCTATTCATCATCGTTATGTTCATACAAACAAATCATTATTACACGTTCCGCATCCTTAAGCTCTGGGGTTGCTAGTTAGATCAAGAGCAGTGACAGATGTGTCGCTTAGGATAAGATCGATTGATATTAGTATAGCATGGACTCATATCATCAGAGCTAAAGTGGGTAGGTTTATGATGAGGTCACACTGAGTAAATATCAATCTGTTTATTCTCAGACTGCAGCTCACCGATTCATTAAATTAATAACTATATCATATTCAGATTCAATGAAAAAGTTCTATATGGTCTGGAGCGTCAACAGTTGAAATTTCCGTCCTGATTTATAAGTCAGCGTATTTTGTTAAGTGGAAATGCATCATAATTTTACCAATCTTTCTACAAGTCTAGACTTTTAATTGTTTATTTAATTCACCAATAAATTTGTTTTTTAGTACTTTTTACTCATAGCTTATTCACATAAATTTTTCTTTGTTTCTAAATTCCATTTATTAGATGTCGAGTAAGTGAACCTTGATTGTTATGCAAAAATAGGGATAGGTGATGATAGAAAAGAGATAAATGAATTTTTTAGTAAAAACATGTAGTTAGTGTTCAATATTTGGTATTTAAGCTACTCAAACAAATTACAGTTTCCTCTAAACCAACATTTTAGAGGATTGTTTAGATCGATTTATTTCGTTTAGTAATTCTTCCCAATGAACCAACAACAATAGCCTTTATGAATCTAAACAACTAGCAAGGAAACAGGTTCGAAACTGAGATTTTATTATGAAGTCATTCAAAAGACAGCTTATAGCTATATAGATGCGGAATCTCACTAACTTACTTCAAGATATCGCGTGGTATGAATTTCTTTGATATTTTCATTAACTACAGTAAAGGATTAGTGAAAGAAACACTCATTTCACTATTTGATATTGTATCAAATATACACACTTTTCAAAGAATTTCAAGTTAAATGTCAACTCAGATAGTTAAAAAATGATTTGTTGTTAAGGTCCTTGAAATTTCTTTCCAAACTACTACGTTTCCTACTCTTGTTTTTTATTGTTATAGGAATCAAGACAACCGGAAACTAAAAAGGATTTAAGTGAATGATAAATTAATAAACAACCATTTGACAAAGTGGCCGAAAAGTTTATTTAAAAAAAAAAGAAAACAATATTTATAAAATATCTTCAATTTTGTCATAAAAATGTCGTGGTTTATTATCTTCCTTAGTTTTTGAAAGATCTATACAAAAGTATGTCAATCCGTCTCAAATAAATTTCATATTTTTGTGATAACCTTTTCAACCAGAACGTGATATCTATTTTCTGTTGAAGAGATACAAAAATCAATTTATAGATTGTAAATTTGTGTATATCAGATATTTACAAGTTTATTGCAATATTCATCTATTATTTGTAAATTTAATGACATTACTGTATTTTATCTGAAGATAATATTGTTAATTAATTGGTTTACTAATAATGGAATAACTATAAACTATCAGGATAATGTATCGCTCTTTATCACTTCTTTGTATATTAAATTATGTAACTGACGATTCAGTACTGTTAGACAGCAAGCTGAATAGTTTTCACTGGTATGATGCTAGAAGTAAAAGGGACTCCTCAAAAAAAAAAATTAACTGGCCTTCATTTATGTCTGTTGTATTGAATAGACGATCAAATGTATTACAATGTATCAATATACAAAATAGCACTCTTATTCATGATACTGATAACGCTCTAGTTGCGAAAACATATTAGTGATCTGAATATAGAATGTTTCAATTCATTTACGGTATCTGTGGGGAAACCAAACAGAGATAAAACAACATAAGCTGTTATAATTCATAGTCAGAGAGGGGTTTTGTGGTTAATATTAGTAACTTAGTAGTTGAATTCATGAGTCGATTGAAGCCAGGACGAAACGGCCGTCCAGTGCTTCCAGGTTTTCCATGGTGATTTAGCTCCTATTGACTCATAAATTCAACTACTACATTGTTCTGATTTAGTTGAATGTCCTTATCAAAAAGAATAATTGGAAGGTTAAACAACTGGTGTATTTCAAACTCGATAACTTTTCAAAGAGTCAACTTCGATTTAAATTATTACTAATGACTTGTTGAGTTCATAAAACATGCACACATCGCCAGAAACCTTTTTACTATTTACTTGTTCTTTATACATAGTGAAACTGAAATAAACTCAATATTGGAACCATGTCTGATGATAAATTAATGCAATTTCTCTGAAGAAGCTCGTACCAGTTTGCTGGGTGAAACTTTGGGACTATTTAAATTTCGACTGCTAAGATAATGCAGACATAATTTCTAAGCATAATGAGTCTTAAAATGAAATACATTTAAAAAGAGTGACAGAAACCAACACTTTGTATATAACCTCATTCAGTCACCTATAAGACCAATGATAAACATATATATTCTGAGATACTTCAAATTAATATCTTATTACATCACACACGTCTTTTCTCAAAAATCTCCTAATTAAACAATGTTCTTCATGTAAAATACTTCACGAACATTTGCTATTGTCCTTAGTTTATTTTTTAGTGAAGAGAAATATACATTTACTAGTGACTGAATGTAAATTAGCAACCGATAAGAATAATGTTATCCAACAACATATTTCAGATCTGTACAAATTAAATTTCTTTTAAGCCTGAATCATTTTATTTCCACTGATCGTTAAGAAGTATTCTTCACTATAAAAACTCTAAATCTTTAAAAGTAACGAACAAGAACATATATTTCAAATAATTATATTCTGAAAGAGATGTATATCAATCAGGATCTGCTATAATGAGATAATTGTAAGTATCCTTCTTAAATCTTCCAATCCTGTAGAAAAACTTAAGCCTGGACACATGAAATCCTCTTCTCAATGTGACTGACCGTCAAAATCACATTAGCCAAATCGGTAGTTACAGTTTTACTGGTAGCAGAAAAGATTAGTACTAATAATATCATTTGAGAAGAAAGTATAGACTCGTGTAACCCACAAGGAATACAAGATGGTTTAGAAACTTAGTTTTCAAGAGAGAGGGCTAAGATTGAATGTATCTGATCTATTGAGAGCGAGTTTGGTCACGTTACCCGTTTCTAACCTATAGCTACAAAAATCGAGCAGATAGTGTGAACCTACCAACACCGTCCAATTAGATCATTAACAGTTTCATGAACAGAAACCACTTTTCGGTTTGCCCAGCCTAGTTTTATTTCAACAAAACAACATACGTCGAAGCAGCTCGTCAGTCATGCGTAATATTTATACTAACAGCATCAATTGAAGACTCACTATCGCATTAGCTGCATCAAGTAATACCCATACATTTCTCACTTTATCACAATTGATAGAATCTATTCTTCGTTTTAATTATTAGTAGGTGGAACTTAAACTTCTCACATAAATTATTACGATGAAATGCCTTTGAGTTCACTTCTGAACTGTAACAGTCTGAATAACAGGGTTGCTAACAATTCTTTCATTGCTAAAAGGAACTTTACTAGACAGATTAAAGTATGAAATTGACATTTACGATACCATAACAAGCCGACTTCTAGACATTCAGTTTGGTAAGGATCAAGAACAACTAAGTTAAGCTTCTAAATAATTTTTAAAACCACAGGTTAGAGTGTTAGAATGTGACTAAGTGAAACAAATTTTGACTTGTAAATATTCTCCGGAAACTTTAACAGACAAAAATCAATACATTTACTAATGGTAATAAGACACCATTAAAGGAAAAACTGATCAGTAAAAGTTGCATACCTTTTGGAATTCTTTAAATAATTCAACTGGTTGGACAGTAGATTTCATGTCCTTAATCAGTTGGGATTTAAATATATCAATGTAACTAGAATATGTCCAAATATTTGTCAACACTAGACCGAACACCTTTAATTACAATAAAATAAAGTTGATAAAAGAGAATATTAGTCAACTTTTGATTAATTCATCGTTGCAACTAATAAAAAAGAACGTACTCTCACTAGTTTATCCATTCAATACAATAAATTTTGCAGAATTTGACAACCAGCTTCCATTGATAAAAATAGACTGAAGTAAGATGACCTGAGATTTCACTAATTTAAAAAATAGTTTATTCACTGATTAAAATAAGATGGCAGATCAATTAAAGCTAAACACTACTTGATAACTATTTTATCAAACTCTTTGATAAAATCTAACTTAAATTCTGCACGATTAAACTAAGGAGTGAGTCACACAAAGACTAGAATATTACTTCAGAAGTCGAGTTCATGTCAAATGATTTACATTTTTTAACTTTTACGTATACATAAGAAAATAATCTTATGCGTACACAAGTAAATAGCCTTAAATGTTATGTAAACATATTAAAACAGAAGTAGGAAGTCTATTTTGTAGAACTAGGCATAGATTTACACATAAATCAACTGTCACAAATCATATTTAACCAAACAGCAACTGAAAGTTGTTTCACAGAAATTTGGGACTTATCGATAGCACGATTCCACCAAACTTCTCATTATTGAATGTGGGATTTTCAATTTTAACAAGGATTGTTATCGTACAGTTGATAAACTCGAAAGCATTATTGAGCATACTCAAATTACTGAGTGAATAAAATTAGGTCCTAATTATAACTGTCTTCTGATTTATTATATTTTACAATCAAGTATACGAAGAACTAAGAGAAATACACATATGACGCATGCTTATACCAGACAATTACAAATAATTAGATCATATTCTTGAAAATAATATGATAGTATTATAATTAGCACCACTATACAATATATGACAATATGATGATTGTCACTTGTTTTTGAAACTACATAATACACATAATAAAATAATGTACTTGGGAAAAACAGTTATTTTGCGTTACCTACTTACACATCATACTATTTTATCATGTAGTTAATTTTTAGCACCTTTAATACACAAAATATCTTTAACATATTTAGACGATTGAAAGATATTAAAAATCATGTTCTCACTGTCCAGACTCATTTGAATGAACAGTTGCCTCAAACGATAATTCTGTTGTAACTAACAAGGTAGAGTATATAGTGAAAATTCAACTAAAGATATTTCATGTATTCGTTTATCAGTGATAAAATATGACGATAATTCAACATAACTGTAAGCAGATATATACGGCTCAGCCCACTAGTAATTTGTAGATGTTGTTATTAACAACATGATATATAACACATTTCATTAAATGCCATTCAATTCTTATTCAAAACATTTTTTGTAATCACTTTCGTTATCACAATAGAAACTGAAATAAGTGGAACATATTGTCAACCGAAATGTCAAATTGATAATAACAGATATGAGCACAGATTACTTGAAGTGGCGAATTAAAACTAAATCTGATTATGGTTAAGTATTTAGTCAAGATATTTCATATTTAGGAGTACTAAAAGGATGACAGATTAAATTAATATACCTTTCAAAATGATTTCGTAGAATTAATAGGTTAATTTTGTTAAATGACATTTTGATTATGATATACGAATGATTTAACCTAAAAGATCTTTTAAAAAAGTCAATTCAGCTGATTTTTTTATGTGATTCGACCTTTAATCAGTCAGACTATCAAAACTTACTTTAAGCAATTTTTTAATCATGTTTCAGTAACTAGTGTTTACCACGTATAATTGATTAACGATAAATGATAAGGTGAGTACACTCCAAATAACGAAGTATTTAAACATACACAGGTGGATAATGATATAAGCACATACATTTATTTTAATGATCACTCAAAATAAACAAAGTGTCACTTATATGAAGTTAACAATACAATCAATATTGTCACTACCATTTTGGATTGGCTGTCAATTCTGCACCAACATCATGTACGGATTCCAATTCTGAAAATCACAATACAGAATTAGAAAGTGGTACAGTCAGTATGAACATCCATTCAACATAGATTAAATAATTGAACAATAATAACCTGTTATACCGATCAGGATATATATATATATATATATATATATATATATATATATATATATAATCCTTATTTATGACCCAGGTGCACCCACTCTTGGTCTTCCCTTAGTACCTATGTATCTAAACTATATTGCATTCTTTTCCGATCCCATGAGTTTATATCTTCTTCACGAATTATATTGTTAATACTAATCTTTCCTACTATAACTTACACTGTTAGTGCTTATTCTACTTTTGCATTCCGCTATGTTAATGTGGTGTAGTAGACTGAAAAAAAGTATACACATGGTTAGTAAAGAAACATACATGTGACGAAGTTTCAGATACAGTTCGGCTCGGTGAAAAACACTCATTATCTAAATATTAGTTGGAAATACTTTAGAAAAGTATCCATCTAAGATTATTAAATGAAATGCTCTAAGACAAAATAGAATTATTATTATCAGCAAAGAGCAAATTACTCATCATGATCAACATAAAATTAATCAATAATCAATAGAGATACACATTTATGGCTTTTATTTTCGAAAATTTCGAGATTTCTGGTACACATGATGATAACAATAATAGTAATAATAATCTCCACATTTAGATAATCATGTGCAGATAACATTAATAAAATGAATAGACAAATTATAATTAGAAACTTTGAAAT